CTTTGATGATCCCAGGCGGAGGTGATTCCCATCTTATAAATGTGGTTTGCGCTTTTTGGGGAATATCATTTCAGCTCCTTGTGCATGTGAGGCGGCAGCATCTAACCTGGAGCCAGTTCTAATGGTTCATCCTGAGTCCGGTGTGTTTTGCTGATTCCAAGTAATAACACGTCGAATCTGTTCATTTCTGCAGCAACATAAATGACTCATCCGGTCTCGGTTAATTTACAAGCATTTCGTATACTTAATTAATAGTTGCTCTAGTTCTCAGAAAGAGCATTAGCCTTGTGACTGAAGAAACTTAGCTTTCATCATTAGACTTCACAGTTCGTCGGAACGAGGACTGGCAACAACACGAGAAGTGCCCCAGGAGGAGTTCCAGGCATTGACGCCCGCCGTTACATGATCGTCAGGCAATTGGATGTTTAGGTCGACATTAAGAATTATCGCTCTTATTTTAAGACAGTAATTGATAAACGCGTACTGACTCATGGATTACCATCACCAACTTGAACCAACTACGCCTGATGCATGACTTGAAACTAGCTATTGCTATCATCGTTACTTCCTCAGATCATTAACTTATTTTGTCTCGTTTGTTAGTTCTGTTTCCTCTTCCTTACTTACACTCCTGTCTTCTAGCACAACCTTCATTACCAGTTCATTAACTTATTTAATTATTTACATAGCCCTGACATTTTATCATATCACATCATCATATCATGTTAAGTAATAAGGTTGCTAGCATATCTTACATTAAAGCAACCAGGGAAACCTACATAGGTATGAAACTCGGGGTCAATAGTGTGTCGAAAACCTCACTCTCGAACGACAGAGTGGATAAAAAACTGATGCTGTAATTCAAAAGCACTCCTCAAAGTAGAGTTCCTAGTTCGGACCATTCAACTCAAATACCTCCACTAGGTCTCAAACAGAGGAACCAAGACACCTTAAAATACCAGTAGGGTAAATAGTCAGTCAGTCAGTCATTTGCAACGTTGAACTGCGTAAGTATGTACATAAGTTCAGGTTGCCATACCACTTTAGCACAGAGACGCAAATGTCGAATCAAATCCCATAGTGATAAAGATAGTAGAGGTATTAGTGGTAATGAAGAAGAATAGGGTTTGAATATATTATTTAAGAAGTATAATTCAGTGAGATAAAGTTAGAAAGACAAAGGTAGAGGTGCTGAAGAATCCAGAAGATTAGGATTTCAGAGAACACAAAGAATGGATGCAACTGCGCCGTTCAAGGTCTCTAACCATTGGTGACTTTCGTCTCGCGTACCCCAACCAGGTAGTCTACATCTACCGACATGACTCAGTTCACTTGTCAGTGACTTCATGGACTTCTGGTTTGGCGCCCATAGCATTCGTCCAACTCTATTCCTACACCGCAAAATATAGCTCGACGAGCAGTCAGTGTTTGGGCATTAGTAACACATGTCCCAACCACCTTAACTGATGAAGTATCAATACTTCATCTATTGACCTCACATCCTTACCTAGCACCTGTTCCTAGCGACTCCATTGCTCTCGGTTGTCCCAGGATACACGAGCAATGCTTCGAAGACACCTATAATTGAAAACCAGTAACCTGCGAATATCTTCTACACTTACTGGCCACGTTTAACAGTCATAAAGTAGGACGGAGCGAACTGCTGCACAGTCCACTCGTCCTTTAGTCAGCAAACAGATATCTTGCCTACGACATAAGTGACGCAAGTTGGCAAAAGTCGATCAGGAGCTTTCTGTATCCATGCTGAGATTTCGTCAGCTCACCAGGCCATCAACACTAATGAGATTCCTGAGATAAGTAAAGCGGTCCATCACGTTCGACTAGTTCACTTCCTATCACTAGTTCAAAGAGCTGATGCAAGTCAATCCTGAAGCAAAATTTTGCATTTCGAGGGTGAGAATCGCATCCCGAACATGCATGCATTGTTGCTTACGGTAGTCAGAAGACTGCATTTTGTCAGCGTCTTCACCAAATAGATCTATGTCATCGGCATATTCCAGGTCAGTAAGCGACTTTTCTGGTACAAGGTCAACCTCTGAAAAATCTGACGAGCTTGATGTTAACTCTAAGTGGATGCCTACGACAAAATTAAACAAGAATGGAGAGAGTGGACACCCCTGACGGACACCACTTGAAGTAGAGAATTCAAATGACAGTTCGCCATATCCTCTCACTCGACCTCTAGTGTTCTAGTAGAGAGCTTGTATAAGGTTAATGTACTCCTTTGGTACACCTTTCAATGACAGACACTGACACAGAACCTCACGATCCAATGAGTCAAATGCCGCCCTAAGGTCCAGGAAGACAACTGCTGTCGGACGACTAAATTTGTCTGTGTTCCACGACCTGTCGTATTGTGAAGATGTAGTCTATACAACCACGTCCAGGTGGAAAACCAGACTGGTTTTCTAGAGTCTGCTCTTCACGAGCTCTAGATAGACGTCTCAGTCTAATCGAGGTTAACGATTTAGAAACTATTTTTGTGATACCTATTTTCCTGTGATTGTCACAAGAGGACCTTTGTCCTTTCTTGTAGATTGAGACGATTAGCGACTGAGACCAATCAGATGGGATTACGTCCGTTTTCCAGATTCTACCTAAGCTAAATGGTAATAGGAGGGAAAGGCGTCCTAAGGCTGAGTCCACACAGTCTGTCGTACAGAAACACCACAAGGATGATTGCATCGCCTGCTCTATCCCAGGCAAAATCAGTGACTCAGCTTTTGAATGCAATTTTTCTAGCAAATGGGTCATTGTCACTGGGACACTACAGTACTTAGAGGGTACAATGGATTCATATTGAGTCACCTCTGCCCGTGGTTCGGGCATATCTGTTCACGGTGCAGAGTACCTGAAGCCACATGCCCCACCCAAATCAGCTCGAAAGTCCCAGCGGACATACCTAAATCGCCTGACACTAAACCAGTGAAACAGGTGACGAAGGCAGCCAAAACCCTAACCAACACCGGCAAAACTGCCGGTTGTAGTTAATCCCCCAGCATCTGTTAACAATACGGAACAGTGTGTGAATGTAAAAAAAGGGGAACGGCAAAACCTCAACTCACGAACGGTTACCACTAAGGGACAGGGACAATAGACGAAATTCACTCATTTTATTTATTATTCCAGTGTCAGAAGGTAGCTTACTAGAGGGTAGAGGTGCCTTTGATTAAGAGCAATGGGATAAATACTGCGCAATCCTCGGAATGTACAATATTCCGGCAAAAATATGCCGCCTTTTTAAAGGCCCTTCCAATGAGGGTGACACTAGACTCGGCACAACTTGCCGAAGATATCCTCCTCCCATCTCAGAGATGGGAGTAGGCGGAATGTTGAAATGTCACGTCTTGTACATTCTCCCCTACATGACGCAAACGATTTACACCCTTAATGGAAGTCCGCTCCGTAATGTCTCTTAAGAGCGCGATCTCGGTTTAATAACCACAGAAAGCCTCCACACAAGCCCTAACTATATAGGGGACTCAGCCAAGACAAATGCGACTTTTCACTTTGGGCGAAGACAACTTGATGTATGTGCATGTAGTATGAGGGTAAAGTTCTTTACCGTATCCCTTGTTTATTCGGATATTAGTCACGAAAGCGCATAGGTAGGCGTACGCGGCGGCCGGAACGCGAGACCGTAGTCTCGTGCAAACTCCGTGAGCCTGCTATCTCATCCGAAGTCAAGGGCGGCGTGGTATCCGTAGGGAATGTAGATGATGCGCGCTGTTGACTGGGACGTAAGAATGAGGTCTCTGATATATCTAGAGTAGGGTCAGAATGTGATTTAAGGATCCCACTATTAGGTTTGACGGTCCTAGCATTGGGTCTCAGATGATCAGGTAGGGCACTGTCATCGACGTGTGCTAGCTGGAGACGATCAATTCTGACTATCTCGAAGCGGCCATGTCAATCAACCTTGAAGGTCTTTCCATGATTGGAGATCACGTGAAGAGGTCCTTTGTAAGGCTGTTGTAAAGGTTTGCGCACCGTGTCTACATATGGACAGGTATATAACTCGAAGGACAGCGATCTGTCGATGTTATGTTCGAGTTCACACCTGAGGCAGTGTTCGCATATACTCAGATAGTCATTGGACGTTGTCTGATATGCATAAAATCGCTGCTCCGTGGTGTGAAAAAAAATTCCATAGGCAGATGCAATTTCGTCCCATATACAAGTTCAGAGGCAAAACATTGAATATCACCAGTTTAAGTGGTGATAGAATCAAGATTGACTATGATTACCACCAAGTACTAATTACGAGCCCGTCACTGAAAAGATAAATACATCCAGGGTAGTGATGATTTCGTGGTGTCGGAACAACACCGAAATCACACAAAGAAAGTAGGCGAAGTAAAGAGCGGCATGCAACGAAGAATGGCAGTAATGCAACTTGGGATGCTCTCCCAGCCCAAGTGACCACGGCCCTCTCAGTGGACAGCTTTAAAGAGAGACCTGCTAAACACGTAATCACATACGGATTATAATCGTCCTCCTGGAGAAGCTGTGACTGATGCATGTCTTGGGACTTGCTTGTTGTTATTACTGCCATCTCCTCAGACCTCAAAATTAATCTATCTCCATTTTTATCTCTGTTTCCTCTCCCTTGCTTATACTTCTGTGCTCTCGTACAATCTTCACTGCGAATTAATAAACCTGGTCTTAAAATCGTCTTCTTTTTAGCAATAAAATTCTCACCTTATTATTCTCCACATTGCAGATAACTGATCCCCGGTCTGGTAATGTGATAGCTGCTGGTATCCAGAAACCACACTATCCTGAAACAAACGTATTCATTCAAATCACGGGACATGCAAACTCACAAACAACTGCCAACTGACTAGAATTAGTGCAGTCGAGTGGCTAGACTACTATCCATTGGACTCTACCAAATACCTGGAATCGCGCCAAAGAACGAGAATCGAGGGCAAAGAAATCAGTTGGCTTTTACTAGCTCGTGAAAAGAATATTGAATTTCGGAAACCAACCTTGAAGGTCGACGCTTTGTGGCTCCAGTCTCAGTCACTTTCGTTTGTTGGATGTATGTTGCTAACGTTGGTTATCATTTAAATTTTTGGTTGAAATTCTTTAGTTGTCTCATATAAGTTAGTGCATTAATGTTATTCTGGAATTATGTTCTTGTTTCGCTTCATTTAACCAGGCAATTTTTAGTGAATGAGTGATAGTTTCCCCAGTTGAACAAGAGTATGGAGATGTAACTAGTTCTAGCTGAAGAAAGCATCTTAGTCATTATTAAAGATAAGTAATGTCAGTCTAAAACCTCATCGTGTCGTAAAACAGAATAATAATACTCTTAGACATCTCACCCTTGTCGTAAGTCTGGGAAATTTCATCACGAATTCAGTACCACTTCTTAGGTCAACCTCTGCATCTTCGACGTAGTATATCCCACCATATAAGGTATAATGTTGAAGATATGCCTTGAAATCCTAAGCACTTGCTAATCAAAGGCTCGGGTCACCTGAAGAGGGGATAGCCTCAGTCCTCAATCCTTTTAAAAATCGTGGTTTACAATCACATCTGAGTCCTGCTTTAAAACATTTGTCAGTGAGATCCTATTCATCATGTATTGGCGACTATTCCCGCGGTCTGTGTGCATTACTACATCCTTACTAGGCTTTGTTCCTAATCATCAATATTTTGACCTTCCCGCCAATAGCTCCGGCCTACTTGTGTCGAAATTACCTTCAAAACGTTTGCATCGTCTACCAAACAATAGAAACAATAGTGGACATAAGTTTGTGCCTTCGCAGTACATGGATTTGTTGTTTCTATTCAAATATCTTGTTTGCTCTTGCTGTGTTTCTAATCCCAGGTCGTAATATGTCTGTTATTCTGAAGTTATAATGCATCTTAAAACCAGACTAGCACATATGTAAGGTGTTTTACTGTCTAAAATAATTTGTTGGTATTGTTTTGAGAAGCAAATTTTCCTCCAATAGAATGTTAGCGTTTATTTTGTGAAGTATGGCAGGTTGACAGTCGCACTGATTGGCCACTTATTTTGCCTCATGGAGATGTGTCACATAAGTAATTATTCTAATTTATGTGTTTTACAGGATATCCATCTCACTTTTCTCTCTCTGAAATGGTTTGCTTCATGCTTTAATTTGTGGACATATATGTAATTTCTAGGATAAAATAAGGGACAAGTATATGGTTTTGCTAAAACTAAGCACAGCCTTATCCAGTGTCTTCAGTAAACAATTCTAGATCGTACAAACCAAAACATATACTTAGTCCAATATATGTGCGTTGTCCTAATAATAATAAATGAATTACTGTAAAGCAAGTTAAAGAACTCCCAAGTGTTGGTGACTAATTGCGCCTAACGCTTGTATTATCTGTGAAGGAAGTTCTCCGATAACTTTTTGTAGTTCAAATGTTTCGTCGGCCTTCATAAAAGTGGTATTTTAGACCTGGTGATCGGTTTGTAAGTTCTACTCTTTTTTCGTTTGATGTCCTACTGTTTATAGCTTGGCGATATACATCCCTACCAGTATTCCTTAACTTAACAACTGTCATTTCTGTTTTGTAGTCACTGATGACTATTCAAATCATTTCCACTTTATAGATTTTACAGCCATTCGTTAATAAAGAAAATACAATCTGGTGGTTCGTTTCGACATGACGTTCGTCAATCTGCTGTTGAGGAATACAGGCAGGATTAATTTCGTTCGATTTTCTCCAATAAGCCGTTCAGTAATTAGTCTTTCATACTTTTAGTGTATTTTATTATTTCTGAAGGTAGCGCTTAGTAAATTTGAAGACAAAACTTTGGATTATGATAAATTGGAGCACAATCTAAATGTAGTGAAGGAAAGGTAACGAGTAATATGATTTGTGTTGTTATTTGTTGTAGACTCGGACATCCGTTGACATTAGCCGAGAAGGTGCTGTATTCTCATCTTGACAATCCGAAAACTGCAGTAATCTCTACTACCTTTCAAAATATTTCTTTAATTTTAGAATATTGAAAGAGGTAAAAGCTACCTCATGCTTAGACCGGATCGTGTCGCAATGCAAGATGCTACAGCACAAATGGCTTTATTACAATTTATTAGTAGTGGTCTTCCACGTGTCGCTGTACCTTCAACAGTTCACTGTGATCATCTGATTGAGGCTAAAGATGGTGCAGGAGCAGATCTTAATCGTGCAACTGATACCAACAAGGAAGTTTACGAATTTCTCGCATCTGCATCGGCTAAATATGGGATTGGATTTTGGAAGCCTGGGTCAGGAATAATTCACCAGGTCACTCATTTTATGTCCTAATTCAAAATGTTATTCGCATGTATTGTTCCTTTGTCGAATAAAATTTAAGTATTAGATGATAATATCAACGAGCTATTACAGGATGTGCTGAAAGTATATACTATTGACGTCTAGGAAGACATAGAATGCCTCATAATTAAACCATCGGGCTTGCGAAATTCAAGATTAAGGCGTTCACTACATTTGATTAGCATTTACAGACTTTCGAATTTTACGACTATTACTTAGGCGTTAATCACGTACCAAGATGGGAATTATGTACAATTAATCATTTCGCTTTGAAGTCTTAAATTTCAGTTAGCAGATACTTCAGGGAAAATTCATAAATCTTTTTATTTGCGTCAACTAATGTTTCCATCTAAGCACTCTAACCTCAATATTTCAATAATATGTACCTTTCCTAATTAAAATTTATTCTTAATAATGTTCACGTGTAGTTTTTTTCTAAAGAAGATATGATTTTCAATTGTGTAGTGTGTCGGATTCAGGATATGTCGAGCTGATTATCAATAATTTGTAAAATATTCACGATCTATTTGTTAGCAAAAACAGACTTTAATCAAAGTGCATGTATACGTTTAATGGATGAGATTTCACTTACTGTATCATTTATACTTGTCAATTTATTTGTACCTTCAAAATAAATCTTGAAAATATCATCCTTCGTAAAGTGACTGATATAAAATAGCATTAACCACCGATTCGACATATATTGAGTCTTACATAAAACCCATAAGCCATGTAGTTTCATATTATGCAGAATATAACAGTGCATAATACCAAGTTCTAGTTCAATTTGAAATGCCTTGGTGTATCCCGTTTTTGGTATTTTGACTGAAATTCGGTCAGCTGTGGTCGACACCAAGTAGCTATCTGGACTCAGCAGGTAATTGGCTAACGCAGTGGCATTTTAAGCAAATGGTACTGAACTGGACTCCCGGAGTGAACATAATCCCTATGATATCAAGTACATCCAACTAACGAATCCCGAAAAGGACGAAACATGCATCCTGGTTCCCATTGTTAGCCACACTCCATTTTTTATATATTATACTAAACAAGCGTCAACAAAGTACAAAAAAAACAACTGTCTAATACTCTTTTTTAAATAATTGTCTATTTGACATTTTTCTTGATAGATTGTATTAGAGAACTATGCATTTCCTGGTGCATTAATAATTGGCACTGATAGTCATACACCTAATGGTGGCGGACTTGGTGGTTTATGTATTGGTGTAGGTGGTGCAGATGCTGTAGATGTAATGGCTAATTTACCATGGGAATTGAAAGCCCCATTAGTAATTGGTGTGAATCTAACTGGTAAATTATCTGGTTGGACAAGTCCAAAAGATATCATCTTAAAGGTTTGGCTATTATAATTATTACTATTATTATTTTCCAGAAAACATGAAATATATTTTCACAACTTTTTGTGCAAGTTAGTTTTTCATGTAAAATTTTATTTTAAAATGCAACTTACTAGAAGATTGTAAAATATGGCATAATAATGCACAAACTGAAGTTCCTTTACTTCTGAGACTACAATGCAAAAAAGAGAACACGAAAAGCCGCTATTTAAGCAACAATCATATATTTGGGATAATGAGATGCCCCGGTCTAAGCTAGGTGAATTGCAAATGTATGCAAACTACCAACACGAAGCTGTAATCGACAGTCTGGACAGCATAATCAACTCTTACTTCAGATACTTCATTCATTCGTTAGCTCTAAATTAGACCGTTTTGGTGAAATTGTCTTCAAGTTTTTTATTAGCCTAATTTGTTGTAACCTGCTGGATGTCACCTTTAGTTGACCTATATATGGTCAGTTTACCTTGTCCAGATAGATTAATAAGTGGAGTCTTGATGTTTCGGTAAAAATAATAGGATTTTTTTGTTTAGTTCATTGGTGTCCGTGAGATCAGACCGTAATAAAGAGGAGCAGTTGTATTTATCCAGTTCAGGAATTGATTAGTTCACCCAGACTCTCGATCTAGTACTAATAACCTTTGGCTAATCGAAGACACACCAAGTGTAAGATAACAATCGAAAGGAACACTAAATGACCATAACTCTACAATCCAGTTTCCTAAGGTCGCTCGCTCGATAGTTAGAATAGGAAACAACTCAACAAGCGAACAGTTTCCAGTTATACAGTTCAAATTTATGAATCACTCATGCAATAATGTAGAGCAAAATCCTGATCACACATCAGTAGAATTAAGAGGTTACAATATGAGTACAACTACGCCATAATTGGAGGAAAACTGGATGATAGGTCTATAATAAATAGTTTTTGCTATTAACGAAAGCTTACAAGTAAGGAAGTAGGAGAATATAACAGTTTATTTATTTTATAATTGTCCAAAAATGTAAACGGCGACTTCATATAAGATCCTTCTGAAAGTTTGCTTTTACTTTATATTTATGTCGACATAGCAGGTCTCATTTCGAAGATTCCAACCAGGTAGTTAGTGAGTTTTTACATAACACGGATTTTATCCCGTGTCATCCAGTTTCACAGTCAGAGACGTAACCACTAAGCTGTGCGAGTGTCGACTGACCTCCAGTAGGACTGAGATGTATTTAAAATTGAATAATCACTGGGTAGTGACCAATACCATTTATACCTAACCCCCTCCAACCTAAGTCTGTTTATTGCAGTCAAATTGGTTACTATGAAATAGACGAAGAAACAACAAGTTTGTTTTTTATCTATCAACTTATTCAATAGCTACATATTTGTATACTTGACGTCGTGCCAAACTCTAGGTGTTCAGGCTAATAATATTATACCTGGGTTAAGTAAACCGCGAAGTAGATGGAGTGCGATTTTCACCCACCACTCTGTGGCGAAAACTTAAACGTCATAACCCTACTGAGTCACTGCTCTAAAAGTAAGATGTAATTGCTTCATTTCCGTTAATTCCAAATCTTTTTATTTCTTGTTTGGTGTTCTTTAGGTAGCTGAAATTCTAACAGTAAAAGGCGGAACCGGGGCTATCGTTGAGTATTATGGTCCTGGTGTTGAATCGATTTCATGTACCGGTATGGCTACAATCTGTAATATGGGCGCTGAAATCGGTGCTACAACATCAATTTTCCCATTTAACGATCGTATGTTGGATTATTTACGTGCTACAAATAGAGCAGATATAGGAGATTTAGCTTCAAAGCATAAGGTGATGGATTATTTTATAGCCATATAAATGTATACAGAATACAATTTACTTGACTTAGAGATAACATTTTTAGTTTATGTCAGTTAGTAGCTCAGTTGATAACTCGTTTGTGTTAATATAGAAAGGTTACTAGGCTCCAGTTTTTATGTGGATATCAAAACAGGTATGCAGCTTATGGATCCCACATAAAACGAAATAAGCATGATAATTTCTAATGCTAGCCAACAATCTGTTTATTCCATAAAAAAACAGTCTTAGTTATTATTGTTGTCTGAAATGTATTTCCATTAGTGCATTTTGTTTATATATGTCTCATCGTAATTTCCTACTCACTCTATCTTTTACTGTAGGCTTCTTTACTTACATCAGATTCAAATTGTAAATATGATAAAATAATTGAAATAAATTTGGATACTTTAGAACCACATGTAAATGGTCCTTTTACACCAGATCTGGCACATCCAATTTCACAAGTAAATCTTTATAATATTCTCCTAATTTTCATTTTAATGTTAAATTCAATGATTATTTCCTAAATGAATGATATAATTTTTACGCACAAGTATTGTAGAAGATAATATTCATCACGAATTGTTGTTAGTTAGTAAATTTCTGAAAACCCATAGAATAAGTTTATTTGGTGTTTTTTTTTTGATCATCCTTACACCTTATTCAATAAAAGACATTGGGCTTTCGCACTGAGTAGTACTCAATGTTTTCAAATGATTCGGTTGGAATCCGACCCCCAGTAGATGGAATCCTCAATCAGTTATTACAATAAGGTAGCGTTGTTTTATCATCTGTAAAAAATTGTTGCTACAATTGATCAATAAATCTAAGAAGTGTATTGTATAACACACTAAAATACTAAATGATACAGATCTATGATACCAGTCTGTTGAAGTTCATAGAATTTCACCTAATAGATATTTGTAAACTTGACTGGTTTTCTTAGTTATGGCATCTGTAGGTTTGTTGTGAACCTTAATTAATACAAAATTAGTACGAACATGTGCTCTTTATGTTACTCAAAACCTCTAACCAACTTATTATTCTGATTGAAACATTTATCGAGTTAAAGGTTTATCCACTCAACTATGAGGCAAACTTCTGTTTATGTGTCGACTAGTAACACTGCTCTGTTGCCCAAACCAATATTTGTATTATTCGCTGATTTTTTTGTTTCTGTTAAATAATGACGATTTCAGTAGAGCCTTTAATTTCATACCTTATGTATATACATCACTATTCTCTCTGTTCATACTTAGTTAACTAGTAATAAATACTTAGTTATAAGTACATGTATACAAATATCTTTGTTAGAGAGGGCATACAACCACTTCTATCTTTTTTACTGTGAAAAGATACTGAAGTTTTGCAATCCGCAGTTAATCAGTTAACAACCAGTGTTCATTGGTTCGGCATTTGCTTTAAGCTTTCTGAATGCAAACTACTTTTACATTAGTGGAAGCAGATCGTGCTTACACTCAATCTTTGTAGTTAGCAATCTGATGTAGTCGAGTAGTTCGTTTATCTGGGTAGCTGTGTAAATGGTCACGTGAGTGACAAGATCTGTTTACGTAAAGCGAAAACCAAAGCGGTTTATGTTAATCTGGACCATCCTTGGTGCTATTGTGATGTTAGTCTGAATATAAAAGGCTGGATTTACAAGGCGCTGATGAGAGTAGTTTTACGTCATGCTTGTGATTCTCCTTCGTGCTGTAGATTCTGGGCGACTCCGTGTTTGATCATTGTTGTGTTCGAAAGATTGCTGTCATTCGGTGCTAGCATCCTAGTAGTAGTGTCGAGATTCGTCAGTGTGTTTGGACACGATAATGGTAACTCAACTAGTGTCATCATCTGTGATGGCTTGGACATGTGCGACGAGTTTCGTCCCGGCAAATCCTACGTCATTCATCATTTACTGAGGTTAGTTTGAAAATCAGACGGGTAGTCATTTCTCGACATAGTATTGGAATATAGGAGAAAGTTTTACCGGGCTAGCATTGGTTTGTTCTTCATGACTCTTAGGTTGGGGTCCTAGAAATAGCACAACACAGTGGCTTAAGACGTTATCAGTCATGGCTCAGAATATAAGTAATTTTCTTTTACTTAGAAGTCGAAGGAACTTCTTTAACGGAAAAATTTTTGGTTAAGATTTCTCAGCTGAACTGCTTCTCCCATTCACTTGTTTTTATCCATTTATCAATTTTGACTTATAATCATCCTCCTTCCTCTATCTCTCCACAGTCTCACTTTTTTATTGTATTGAGTATATTTGTTTTGATACTCCTTTGTACCAACATTTATGTTTAACTAATAATAATAATGATAATAATAATAATAACCCGTGTAAAATCGATTTATTGTGTCATAAGTTGTATTGGTGAAGGTATTCTGTATACTTTTGTGATGTTCGCCAACCAAACCACCAACCCAGAGAGAGTCATTTAACCCGTATATGTATACCATGAACTGCACAAAGATTCACTGTTAGCTGTAAGCGTTTCTTTAAATACGATCTAAGTAAAGTAATCAAGTACAGCTATATTTATTTAACTTCTAGCCAAGCGTTCTTATGTTGGTGAAGTACCATTCAGCTGCCCAAACTGAACTGGATGAAAAGCTATCCGAACACGTGACCCAGTTGTTGAAAGTCAAATGATTTAATCACTAAGTCAACACTTTTTAAATGATCTGTGTTTTTATATTTTTGTTTTCAATACTCATTTCACGTGTTTTTCTTGATCAATAAGAACTACGTTTATCCTTTCAGTTAGTTGGACAATCAGTTGTATGCTGGTTGTCAGATGATTTTTGTATTCAGTTGTAACATACTATTGCCAGATTTCAAAATTTACTATAAGTTCTACAATGACCTAATGTAATAATAACTACTAAGTTAGCAGTGTTAGCTTCAGTATATATATATATATATATATATATATATATATATATATATAATTATTATTATTATTATTAATATTATTATTATTATTATCGCTAGCTATCCAGTCATGCAACCAAAGCAGGTTGGCCACTACATATAAGTGCCGGACTTATCGGTTCATGTACTAACTCATCTTATGAGGATATGTCACGTGCTGCCAGCTTAGCTCGTCAAGCTTTAGATAAAGGTGTTAAAATTAAATCACAATTCTTTATAACACCTGGCAGTGAACAGATTAGAGCAACTATTGAACGTGATGGTATCACAAAAACACTTCAATCTGCCGGTGGTATAGTATTAGCGAATGCTTGTGGTCCATGTATTGGTCAATGGTCCAGAAAGGTAAGTGAAAAATTATCTTTTCTAACTTTTTTCCCCATGGAAAAACACTTATAATTATAACACGGTTAATGTAATATTTAATATGGGGTGAATGGGTTGTGGATATCAGTGGAATCCGAAACGATTGTTTTGTCCGATTTGTGACTTGCCGGTTGGATGTGTCTACCGCCTCAGATTTGATATCCATCCTGGGACCAGAACCCAATACCAAAAGGTTATTCACTTAGCTACTGAGCCTCAAATAACCGCTAACATATTCGATATGTATTCATTAAAAAAGATAATTCAAACCATTTAAACTCTTCCTTGGGAGTTAGAAGGTCTTCATTCAGAAGAGTTATGACGTCTCATGATGAAAGACGAGTTCCTTTAGAAGTCACGAGGCCTTTGCCCTTTCTGACAACCAGAGCCCTTCCACGGTGTGACCAGCTGGGAAATTACATCAACCCTCATATCCGTAAATGCACACGAGACCAAATCGGTCTGCTAATGCAAACGATATGTTATTCCTGATCTCTTGAAACCCCGCACTAAACAACATATTGCAGCTTTTAATGTTCGGAACCTATGCCAAATAGGACAACAGACTTCGTTAGCTAGAACTCTGGAATCTCGTGCGATCGATGTATGTTGTGTCTTCGAAACGCGCATACAGGATCCGAGTAAAATCATCAATTTCATTGCACCTAGTGCAGATAGAGACAAAACATGTTTTACACATCGTGTTTCAAGTAGCCGTGATGCTGCCTCCCGGGGCCTCGCCGGCGTAGAGATAGTATTATGTCGTCTGACAACAGATGTGTTCCTAGACCTTAAATCGGAATTTGACTCTGTCGATCATGAGGTTCTCTCAACTCGAACACTGGTCGAGTTAGAGCTTATGACGAACTGTCGTCGGAATACTGCACTTCAAGTGGTGCCCATCAGGGATGTCAACTTTCTCCATTTTTGTTTAATTTTGTTATCGACTTGCTTTTAGAGTTAACATTATCTTCGTCTGAGCTTTCAGGGGGTGGAACTTCTACCAGAGGACTCACTTGTCGACTTAGAATATGCCGATGACAGTTCTGTTTGGTGAAGACACTAACAAAATGCAAAGTCTCCTGGCTACCCTAAGCAACAATGCATGCATGTTCGGGATGCGATTCTCACCCTCGAAATGCAAAATTTTGCTTCAGGATTGACTTGCATCAGCACCTGAACTAGTGATAGGAAGTGAACTAGTCGAACGTGATGACCGCTTTACTTATCTCAGGAATCTCATTAGTGTTGATGGCCTGGTGACTGACGAAATCTCAGCATGGATACAGAAAGCTCGATCGACTTTTGCCAACTTGCGTCACTTATGTCGTAGGCAAGATATCTGTTTGCTGACTAAAGGACGAGTGTACTGTGCAGCAGTTCGCTCCGTCCTACTTTATGACTGTTAAACGTGGCCAGTAAGTGTAGAAGATATTCGCAGGTTACTGGTTTTCAATTATAGGTGTCTTCGAAGCATTGCTCGTGTATCCTGGGACAACCGAGTAAGCAATGGAGTCGCTAGGAAACAGGTGCTAGGTAAGGATGTGAGGTCAATAGATGAAGTATTGAAACTTCATCAGTTGAGGTGGTTGGGACATGTGTTACTAATGCCCAAACACTGACTGCCTCGTCGAGCTATATTTTGCGGTGTAGGAATAGGTTGGACGAATGCTATGGGCGGCCAAACCAAAACATGGCAGAAGTCCATGAAGTCACTGACAAGTGAACTGAGTCATGTCGGTAGGTGTTGACTACCTGGTTGGTACGCGTGAATGATAATAGTCGATGGTTAGATACCGTGAATGAGATGGCCCAAAACCGTTTCCAATGGCTCAGTTGCATGCATTCTTTGCGTTCTTTCATATCCTAACCTTCTTAATTCCTCATCACTTTACCGTATTCTTTTAAGTTTAAATAAGTTGATTCTACTTCTTGAACAATATTCTTTAACCGTAATCTCTCCGATTACTTCTAATACTTCTACTTCCTAACTACTTTGGGATTTGAATTGACAATTGTATCTCTGTGCTAATGTCGTGTGGTATCTTGAATGGATGATGTACATTAGTGTAATTTTCCAGGTCATAACTGACTGACTCATTATGATAATTGAATACCCCGAATTATTTGTTTAGTTAGCCTTTACTAATGAGTGGATATCATTGATGGTTATTTTCCTCCTAACTGTCGATCTCGTTTTTTGAGATCATCATGTTAACAATATTTAGGTTAGATGCAGAGCACTGAGTAAAGATGGGAGATCGGTTTATGGGGCTGTAAGTTTTTATTGAGTTAGTTGGCTAAAATGTGGTTACATGTACTCCTACACCGCTTCCGCTGGTGGGAGATGTTTACTGGTGTAGGAATAGTTTGGAAAAGAATTAAGGGAAACCAAATCAGAATGTTTTATCATTTTATGAATTCATTGACTGTTGAACTAAGCCATATGGGCAGGCGTAGACTTTATCATGTAGTTAACATTCACGCGTCTATCATTACTTACCTTTGATCGGTGGATTTTGTGTGATATGGCTAAGATTCAGTTGTAATCGCGGAGATACTTTCACTGTTTGCCTTCCATTAGTTTTCGAGTTTTAAGTTTATATCTGTTAGGGGGACATAGCTGAGAAAACATATAAGCAAACCATTACAACAGTAGCGGACACAATGGTGGCGACGAGGAAAAAGGAAAAAATTTTCAAGATGCCTATTTCAGATGATCAGCTTAACCGAATACTACAACAACAGCAAGCACAATTGGATGCACAAATGCGGTTGTTGGAGACCCTAACTCAACAGTTCAACATCCAGTGTTCCAGTACACATACTATTTTAAATACGTCTTGTGAAGCAGTGGCAAACAGCATACCAGAATTCGTCTATAATCCTGAATGTGGAAATGCTTTTCTGACATGGTTCAAACGTTGGGAAGATACATTTAGAATTGAATTCGGTAAACAAGACGATGCTTGGAAGACTCGCTTGTTGGTGCGTAAGTTGCGAAGTAATGAGTATGCACGTTACGCTGACCACATACTACCGAAGTTACCTCGAGAGCTCAGTTTCGAGGAGACAGTAACTCAGCTGTCAGTGATTTTCGGCGAATCATCGTCATTGTTTAGTATTAGTTATCAGTATCTAAATCTGGTGAAACACGAAGATGATGAATATGCGGTTCTTGCAGACGTCGTCAACAGAGAATGTGAACGGTTCAAGTTACGCTCGTTGACAGAAGACCAGTTTAAATGCTTAATATTCATCAAAGCTCTTCAGTCACCACAAGATTCTGAAATCAGAACTAGACTTTTGATTCGAATGGACCAAGACCCGAACGTTACACTCAAAACGTTGATAGATGAGTGTAAACGCCTACAAAGTATCAGGCACGACAACATGTTGATCGAACAGGTATATCCTAATTTAACCAGCAGTAGTGTCAGTGCTATTGCTAGGTTAAAAGTTCAGAAGCCGAAAACATCTTGTAACAAACCAACGACGGCATGTTGGTTATGTGGTGATTGGCACTACGTACGGTTCTGTCCATTTAAAAAACATAAATGTCAGATGTGCAACAAACGAGGACATAAAGAAGGCCATTGTCAACCAAATCGTACGTTTCATCCCAGGAAGAAGCACAAACGTACTCGACATGTGGTGAAATCAGCCGAGTCTAAATCACTTTATCTGGTAGCTGCTTTCCAAACAGACTATGACGTTCGGAGAAAGTATGTGACTATCCAGATGAACGGTGCATCAGCTCGTTTTCAAATCGACACGGCATCAGATATCACCTTAATGTCTAGAGAAACGTATAATTTGCTGGGAAAACCGCCGATGAAACCATCTAAGAAAACAGCTAAAAGCGCTTCAAGTGGTGTGTTAAAACTGGTTGGTGAATTGCAGTGTGAATTTTCCTTCAACGGAAAAAAATGTACAGGAATATGCTATCTGACAGAACGGCCAAACCTTGATCTTCTTGGTCTAGATATGCTAGAAAAGCTGGGAATAATGGATTTGCCCATTAACAGTGTCTGCAGCGTATCGTGTTCATCAGTGGACACCCCTATACTTACAAAGAAGACAGGTGAAAGGTTACAAGATAAACGGAAGAGGAAGTCAGCCTCTGTTTTTCCGAATAGCCTCGGCCGCCTTTCGAATATGAAATCAGATGTCAAACCTGTTTCACGTCTGAGACGCCCTATACCATATGCTGTTCATGAGCCTCGACAAAACTTATCGTTTGGGAAGCAGCCCAAACGACGGTTGTTTAAAGATATGGTTCCTACAAAGCAGGCGGCTCGTAAGAGTACGAGTGGCAAGGCACCCAGGAAGCAGTTGGACCCTAGCACCAGATCCTACGAATCTTCTCAAAGGGGAGGTGTTAGGGGGACATAGCTGAGAAAACATAAGCAAACCATTACAACAATATCAGACTTTGTATTCCACGAATTCATTCCTTCTCAAGTTATATTGTTTTTGTGCAATGTTTTCTACTTCCACTAATTCTTCGACAACAGAATGATTAACATTTTTAAAAGACTACAAACTGATACTTTTTTATCAAATGAACATTAATCACTTTGTAAGGTTGTCGATTCCTAATATCATACATACAATGTAGTTGAGTAGATGTATGACATAAATCAACTCACCAATAGTTTATTTCAAGCATCTTTAACATAGCTATTAATAAACCAATGTAAGCTATGCTATATGAAATTTATTTATTTATTCAACTTACTCCTTTTGAAAGTCAAACCTAAATCACACACCTTCACAATTCGAGATTTCATTTAACACAACTATTTGGGTCATGTTTCTAACTGTAAAACTAGATGATGTTGTCTCTAATCTCACAGATGAAATATCAGTTCCCCCAAGATTACAACTGCGATTTGTTGTGACGAGTACCATCCAGCAGAAAACTTAGATCTGGAAAGATGTTTCTTGCTGACTACTTCCATCTATTAAATAGTATAATAGACCATTTACTTATGTATAATGTTATTTGGACATTTTATTGCATACATAATAAATGAATTAATTCATTTGTTTTCTTTCTTTCCTAGGATACAAAGAAAGGCGATAAAAACACAATTGTCTCGTCGTACAATCGTAATTTCACTGGTCGTAACGATGCTAATCCAGCTACACATGCATTTGTCACGTCACCAGAGATAGTGACAGCTTTAGTGTTTGGTGGTAGTTTATCATTTAATCCGTTAACCGATGAACTAGATGCAAATGATGGATCAAAATTTAAATTTAAACCACCAACAGGTATGTGTTTGTATATGTATCTGTTATCGTTTTACTTTTGCTATAGTTACATTCTTCGAATCCAAAAGTTTTCACTGCCTTCCTAACAAAAATGCATCATTAGTATTAAACTTCAGATAGAAGTTAATAATAATTCAAAGCTTCATGATTAAAACCACTGGGCTGGTTGTCATGATGAATTTAATAGTGCGATAATTGTAACTTTTGAAATTATTTTATCGATTACTGTTTATAGCTTCATTCTGTATTTATTAGAAATAACTAGATTATTATGTCATTGTATTCGCTGTATTGGGAGCTTCCATTTGACCTATGAACTATTGTTAGATATTTTATTGCTGCTCAATTAATGATTCTGTGGTAGAGTTGGCTGCGTCATGATTAAAGTGGGGCTCACCAATTCCGTGGCGGTCGGTATTCGATATATTCCCAAACTTCATATACTGCTCGTCTTGATAACCGTTACCAGATAACGCCCAACGGTTTTTAAATCAGAAAACAAATACGAAGCATTAATTACGTTTATTATCTCACTACAGGGAGATCACTAAACCACAGGCATACGAAGCGAAAATGATATGCGAGTGCCGAAGAGCGAGCGAGCGAGTCAATCAACAGGATTAAAATATACTTATATATTACATAGAAAAATGATTGAGTCATTGAATTATTTAAGAGGCTAACATTAAAAACACTCAGTCAGTTACAACGTAAAACATGGTACGTACGTGCATACCATGCATGCCATACCATGGTAGCACAGAGATTCAATTGCCAACTGAAATCTCATAGTGTTGGAGGAAGTAATCGGAAGGTTCACAGTCCGAAGATATTATTAAAGTATAATCCAGTAAAATAGATTCGAGACAAGGAAGATGAAGGTCATGAGGAGTTTAGATTAGAATTTGTAACAAAAAGAATGGATGCACCTGCGCAATTGCAAACGGTTTTGAGCCATCTCATTCACGGCATCTAACCATCGACTATTATCATTCACGCGTACCAACCAGGTAGTCAACACCTACCGACATGACTCAGTTCACTTGTCAGTGACTTCATGGACTTCTGCCATGTTTTGGTTTGGCCGCCCATAGCATTCGTCCAACCTATTCCTACACCGCAAAATATAGCTCGACGAGGCAGTCAGTGTTTGGGCATTAGTAACACATGTCCCAACCACCTCAACTGATGAAGTTTCAATACTTCATCTATTGACCTCACATCCTTACCTAGCACCTGTTTCCTAGCGACTCCATTGCTTACTCGGTTGTCCCAGGATACACGAGCAATGCTTCGAAGACACCTATAATTGAAAACCAGTAACCTGCGAATATCTTCTACACTTACTGGCCACGTTTAACAGTCATAAAGTAGGACGGAGCGAACTGCTGCACAGTACACTCGTCCTTCAGTCAGCAAACAGATATCTTGCCTACGACATAAGTGACGCAAGTTGGCAAAAGTCGATCGAGCTTTCTGTATCCATGCTGAGATTTCGTCAGTCACCAGGCCATCAACACTAATGAGATTTCCGAGATAAGTGAAGCAGTCAACACGGTCAATTAAAGCAAGTTGAATGAATGTGTTTTGGCGGTAAGCAATGTTCAGTCATACCTGCTCATACAAACGCTGTAATAATAAAAGCACAATGGTACAGATAAGTTGTTGCTATACAAATGACTCTGTCTGTCATAAAAATAAAACTGGTTTAACCAAGTTAAATGTGAACAAACCTAAATGTGTTTGATTTGCTATAATTCACTTGTCGATCCATTCTCTGACACTTAAAATATGATAGTGTTTAAATTATAATTGCTGGTTTGAGTATACGGTGTTCAGTCTGATAATTCATGTATATAAACTAATGAGCGTTTAAAATAAAAATACTTTGTGCCCGAAAGACGGACTGTAAAACTTCCCTACCGTGTCCTCTTATTCTAACTTAAGTCTTCCGATAGAAGGCGTACCTATCAATAAGCCTTTAGGAATCAAAAATCTTTCAGCCTCACTTCAAGTTTAATTTTGTCAGTCGAAGTGTATCATTTGTCTACTCTTAAAACACTCGGTCATGTATGAAATAGTTCATGCGGAGTAGAAAAATATAACAGTTCTAACTAGTGGATCTCCTGTCAAAATATCGATTGATCTATAGTTATAACACACCAAAAATGCAATACCGCTAAAATCATCCTCCTGAGCTACAAATCTCTTTTTTACCATACATTCACTATAAAAATTGGTCTATTTTATTGAAAGTTCCTGGATGTTGATTGCTGAGGTTTCCATCACGAAGGAGTAACATATATTCAGTACTTCTTGGTCTATTATTTGTGTCTTTTAGTTATTCCTTTCCAACGGCTGTAAAGACATATAATGAGTACGACTGTACATTTCAACGACCTGTTAAATTGTAGAATTAAAAGTGAATCAATCACTTGATGTATATTGTACCTTTCACTTTTGTTTAATTCTATCTAAATGTTTCAATAATTTTTGAGGGTACTCTGCAGACAAAATTCTTTTCAATTTTAAAATACCAGTCGAATATAGGATAGTTTAGTAGGATCACATTTGTACTCGGTTCCACCACAATTTTTGCCTATACAACTAAGTTGTGCATAACTAGCTCCAAAGTATACGAACCTATTCATGACGTGATAAACAATACATTTTGTTTTCGTCCCAAGTCTTTTATATACACTTATTATAATCTCATTATCTTACTTTTAAAAATTAGGCGATACGCTACCAAAGAAAGGGTTTGATCCTGGTCAAAATACATACCAACCACCTTTGACAGATACTTCCAAAATTACAGTAAAAATTAATCCATCAAGTCAACGTTTACAATTACTTAGTCCATTCAAGAAATGGAATGGTAAAGATTTAACTGAAATGCCAATATTAATTAAAATTAAAGGAAAATGTACTACAGATCATATTTCAGCTGCTGGACAATGGTTAAAATATCGTGGTCATTTGGATAATATTTCAAATAATTTATTCATTGGGTAAGGATATTTGTTCAAGTAATATCAGTGAATTGTTGATAACATTTACTTTTATTTGAGAAATTTCATTGTCAAATCAATGTTTGCATCATTGAGTTGAAACTAATCACTCAGCCAAGATTAATCATAGTGATCTCTATTTAACATCATTTTATCAACATATCTGACATCACTGTTCTGAGCCTTATTTTCCAGCTCTACCCGATTGCTGTTCATTACTTTCATGTCTGCCTCCACTTCTTGACGTGACATATTCTTTGGTCTTCCTCTTTTCCTTCGGCCTTGAGGATTCCAAGTGAGGGCTTGTCTTGTGACGTTGTTAGGTGCTTTCTTCAATGTATGTTTTATCCACCTCTAGCGCTTTCTCCTAATTTCATGCACCTAGACCCCTTCTGGTGTTACTTCTGGTCCTAAGCCCGGATAAGGGAGGGTTGGGAATATGGGGTTAGCAACCCCATCCCGTCAGTCAGTCAGTCAGTCAGATGCAACGTAGAACTTGGTACGTAAGTACATCAGTTCATGTTGCCATACCACATCAGCACAGAGATATAATTGTCAATTCACTAAAAGTACGCTGACCGAAAAAATAATTTAAACCATTTAAACTCTACCGTGGGAGTTGGAAGGTCTTCGTTCCAAATAATTCTGACACCTTGTGATGAAAACCGATGATCCTTCTGACAACTAGAGCAACCATTAATATAGGTAAAAAGGGAAACTGGGCTAGGGTTATTATTATCGACCTAAAAGCTTTCCAAGAGTGCCCATGAGGAAGTCTTTTGTGAGTAGTTACACATCGTTTTCCTAAGTAGTCTTAGATGTATTAGTTTCGTACTTTAATATCTTACTACTGCCGATGGAGATCCGTGTGACAAGGTTAGTCGTTGTATCAGTATTTATGTGTATTAAATAAACGAATGAGGCGAATAAAAGGCGAAGTGTACGATATTTAGAACCACCCTTTCCTAATTCCGTCCTTCATTTGTTGACAAGGTAGCATCACTGCAGATGCTGGTTGTCTGAAAGAAACACAGCACTGTCGTCACATCTCAATACAGATGACGGAACAGCTTAGTTCTTGAACTTTATGTTTACTGCTTTTAGTTTCACTGCTCCAATCGATCTACCTAATCTGTTAGAACTTAAGTAAACAATTGTTCCGTTAATATACATCAATCGGTTTATCACGATATGCAAGCTTGATCGCCAAGTCCAAGGTCAGTCAGTCAGTCAGGTGCAACGGAGAACTTCGTACGTAAGTACATCAGTTCATACCGCCATACCACATCAGCACAGAGATATAAATGTCAATTCGAATTCAATAATAGAAGATGTAGTAAAGGTATTAGAAGTAATCGGAGAGGTTAGGATTAGAAGATATTATTCAAGAAGTATGATTCAATGAGAAAAGTTTAGAGAGTCGAAACTAGAGGTGTTGAAGAATCCAGAAGATTAGGATTTGAGAGAACGCAGAGAATAAATGCACCGGCGCCATTGCGAACGATTTTGAGCCATGTCATTCAAGGTCTCTAACCATCGATTATTATCATCTCGCTGACCCCAACCAGGTAGTCTACATCTACCAACATGACTCAGTCCACTCGTCAGTGACTTTATGGATTTCTGCCATGTTTTGGTCTGGCCGCCCCTAACTTTCTTCCAACCTATTCCTACACTACCAAACAAAGCTCTTCGAGGCAGCCGGTGGTTAGGCATACGCAGCACGTGTCCCAACCACCTCAACTGATAAAGTTTCAATACTTCATCTATTGATCTGCCATTCTTGCCTAACACCCGCTTCCAAATAACAGCGTTGCTCACTCGGGTATCCCAGGATATACGAGCAATGCTTCGAAGACAACTATGATCGAAAACCAGTAACCTACGAATATCTTCTACTCTCATTGGCCATGTTTCACAGCCATAAAGTAAGACCGAGCGAACTACTGCGCAGTACACTCGTCCTTTAGTCAGCAAACAGATATCTTGCCTACGACATAAGTGACGCAAGTTGGCAAAAGTCGATCGAGCTTTCTGTATCCATGCTGAGATTTCGTCAGTCATCAGGCCATCTGCACTGATGAGACTTCCCAGATAAGTGAAGCGGTCAACACGTTCGACTATTTCACTTCCTATCACTAGTTCAGGTGCTGATGCAACCCAATCTTGAAGCAACATTTTGCATTTCGAGGGTGAGAACCGCATCCCGAACATGCATGCATTGTTGCTTAGGGTGGTCAGAGCAACAATGCAAGCAAGGTAGCAAATGGGGTTGAACACGGATCAATCGGTTATGTACAATTCAGTTCTTGATACTGCTAGTCTGTCTATGTTAATTGAACCAAAGAAAAAATGAATTTAATTTCAAGCAAATAAAGTCATTCTGAATAATAAACGCTTGTGATTAATGATTAACAGAAATACACAACTGACAAATAACTAAAAAAATAAGATAAAGCAGATGTACTAGAGTGTCTCAAACCGAAACGGAGCATTTTGTCAATACTCTTTTGTTTTCAAGATGGTTCCGTGATTCATGTCTGTTATTAAATGAAACTACTTTGTTTTTTAAACCTTATTTCCTATTTGCCTATTGTTGCAATACACAATAAACTTGTACATTACTTGGCTGGCATAAGTGAAACAGTAACACTGATATTGTTATTACTGGCCTGATGATCATACTAAAACTGACGACAATAAGCATGACAAATTTATAAAACCAATTAATATTGTGTAACTATATAGAGTAATCAATTAGTATTGATTTGTTAAAAATAGACATTTCAATATCATGATAGAGATGCATAGTAAGCTTTCACTTGATAGTGAAACACTTACAGAAGTCAAACAATGTCATGAGCAATATTGCTCATGTTAGCATTTTGTCTATATTGTGTAATACGAATTTTTTTCGACATTGGTTCCCACCATATATATGTATTTATACCTTCCCTGTAGAGCTATTAATGAGGAGAATAATGAAATGAATAAAGTGTTACATCGTCCCTCTGGTCAATGGGATGCTGTTCCAGCGGTAGCTAGAAAATATAAAGCAGATGGTATCAATTGGTGCGTTATTGGTGATGAGAATTATGGTGAAGGAAGTAGTCGAGAACACGCGGCCTTGGAGCCTAGACATTTAGGCGGTCTTGCAATCATTGTAAAAAGTTTTGCACGTATACATGGTAGGGTTTTTTTTAAAAAATAATTTGTGTTATTTTCAATTTTAGTAAAGTATGCAATTAACCTCTCACCTTGTACAGCAGTGACTCAGTAGTGAAGGGATTCTAATTTCATTCATTAGATCACAGGTTTGAACTCCCCTCCGTATTTAAGCTTGAATAACCCTCACACTTAGATTTTAAATAGCTCCAAAACCAAGTTTTTATACATAGTAGATTAGTTAGATATAATAATATAAATATTAACAAACAGCTTGCACAAATGTAATTTTTTGTTATGTTTCAACGTCAGTTGATTTTGTCAAATATGTATGTAGTGAATAGTATGTATTCATTGAAACTTGACAATCTATTTTTCTTCATCTTCCGATAAAATGGTTAGAATTTTTTTTCTGAGTAGTAGAGTAATTCTCATCTGATGTTAGTGTTCCACACAAAAAAGAAACATATGTACGAGCTACTAATAAGTAGATTATATAAGTCAGGTTTAATATAACACTCATGATAATCTGAAATTTCACTGATACAAATAAATTCATAAATAAATTCATGCATATTGATATTCATAGTTTTCATCACGAATCGATGTTAGTTAGATAACCATTGAAAATCACTAAGAAGCAATGAACATCTATTGCACCTAACCAATTGAGGTAAAGATAGAAAAACCTAAGACCTTGAATATCTCATACGCTCACGAATGCTTTCTCTTTAGACTATCATGTAAATTGGTGGAGAAATTGACAATCTCTACATGAGTTTCTTATTACTTTTACTAAATCATATGAATAATAGTCCAAAAGATTTCTTTGATTATTTCTCCTATCCATATTCTTTTTTGTTTTTTTTTAGAGACTAATTTAAAAAAACAAGGATTACTTCCATTGACATTTTCAAATCCATCAGATTATGATAAAATTAAACCATCTGATAAAATTTCCTTGATAGACTTGAAAAATCTTCAACCTGGCAAAGTGAGTCTTACCAAAAAAAAAAAAAAATAGAATACTTTATCCTTTGAAAGTTAGTTTTCATCATACATTAATTAGAATTAATGAATTTGTAAACAATAGAAATTTTGGACAGGTTAGCCTGTATTTTGGTGTGATTGTACTAGAAGAAATTGGGAACTGCCAGAATTTTTATGACCTATATCAATGATACGTATTTTATCGACAATAAATCGGAATCTGTAAATAATTTAACTCACCCTATTGTGTGAAGTTGCCTCACTCCTCTTTACGTATGATTAAAGTTTATGAAGTAATGAATTCTTTTGTAGACCTTTGAGCTATTCCCCACTTAGAAGTGTAAATGATGAATGATTTCTCAGTTAATCGTAAATATGTCTATGTGTGTTAGCCCAAGTTTATACATTACATTCATACAACAAAGGTGAGATTCACAAGATGCACCGCAAACAAAAATCCCAGATAGTGTGTCACACTACAACTTCTTCTTCTTCTTTGTTATATTTCCAAATACAATTTGAGGCTAGTTTTCCTTACAGATTAACACCAACCACTGAAAACCTAAAGGTATTAAACTATTGTTTTAGTTTATCATAGTTTGTTACTCAATCGTTTCATAGGTGACATCATCAATCAAGTTTGTTTGAACTGTTACATTCTACGATTGTTCAAGTTTACTTACCGCTGTATATACAACTACTGGATTGCGTAAACTAAAGATAATTAAGCGCTTAATGGCCTACTGAATCTAGAATTTATCACTATTCATTTTCACTCCGAAACGAAGTCATATTGTTAACCAGTGGAGCATGTCTGTTTCTTCGGAAAGTTCAAACAAATCTTAATCGACAGCGTCTACTCATCAGAATCTACATTTGATCGGCCTGGTGTATGAGTAACACACACAATATATTCAACGAGTGTTTTAATAATCAGCAATTTCGTATCGTTATAATTTAGACATATATTTCAAAGGATGATTTTGATTTTACTTTAGAATTATGAGCATAAATTTCATTATGAATCACGTCATTTTCTTATGCTCGTTTATTCACACATGTATATGTATACTAATGTTCCTTTTAGCCTGTTCGTTGTGTGATTCACCATGAAAATGGTCAAACGGAAGAAATTCATTTATCACATACATTTAATGAGAATCAAATTGAATGGTTCAAAGCTGGCAGTGCTTTGAATCGAATGCGTGAGTTAAGCAGTCAACATTAAGCTCTACCAATCACATGAACGTCTTATGCCACTCAACTTCTTTTTTAGTAGCTAACCAAACAAAACAATTTATCTAACTTCTGTGTTTGTCTTTTACTAGTCGATTTCATTTTTTTCATCTGATACATTTTTATTTCTACACTATTGTGTAGTCAACTGTATAATTTAGTAAACTAAAGATACCTTATTTGTTGCCTTTCCATCTCCTCTCTATCTTTCTCTTCATATAGTTTTCTAGTGGTAGCATTTGTTCATTTTTAGAGTTTGATAATCAATCAGTTGGCATTTCAGAGTTTAGAGTAGTCTTAATACTATAATCACGTATATTCACTCTGTTAGTGCCTATTTTCTCGAATAGGTTCAAGAATCATACACTCACATACCGACCTATGAAAGTTGGACTACTTTTGCCACGTATTGTATTTTTTTCTGTCTTCTGTTTTTTATAATCAGCCAATATTTGTGTTCATCGTTAAAAATAAATAATTTGGATTTTGTGAATAAAGTACTACACGTGATTAACTAAATTATTCATTCTTTTTTTTAATTACTGAATATTTTCCAGTAAGTGTATATTTGTGCGCACTCACACTCATACTGGCATCAAATCTATTTATTTCAGAGTGAACTGGCAAGCTTTTAGCGGAAAGTCATAGAAATTTTGTTCAGGAGAATTACTCAATATGATCACGAAACATGTAACCTAAGAATAAAAACAGAATTTAATAACTCTTGTGATAAAGTTAGAAAAATCATTAGCAATCAAATAGAATTGGAATGATGTAGAATACGTTTATGTAGATCTGCAGCGCATTCCTTTTTCTCAATTGTCAATATGTGTTCAATATTGATCACTTCTGGGCGCTTTTCTATTAATTTAGTGAGTGACTCTACAGTAACGTATTCTCACAATCACTGGAATGAAATCCCTAGTGAAAATTATACTGTTATATGCATTATCTGTCCATTAAATGAATGGAAAAGTGCTATATATACTGTACTTTTACTAGGAATTAAAAGGAAAATACTTAACCTAGTATATATATATATATATATATATATACAGACTACGATGTTGTATACATTTTTAAATGTGACCTGAAGGAATTTTTGTTATTCAAATATAAGGCCATTATTCATCCATGTGACTGCGAAAGGATTTTTTTGTTCAATTCCGAATTATCAGTAATACTATCTCCTAACCATAACCCTAATTTATATTGGGTTTTTTGTAATAAATTATTCATTCATGTCGCATGTATTCTGGTTAGGTGAAAACCAGCCTCACTTTCTCAGGGTCACCGTAAACGTCGCCAATCATCGTTAGTGTACATAAATTTAAATCGCTTTTTATCAAATAAGTCATCTCGCTGAGGAGTTTTTGCTGTTTGACTGATCTATTCTTGATGTTTATAAACATTGTTACCTAAAATTAGTTCTATCATGTTTTAGGAATAAGCATTACATGCCGTCTGCAACTCCATAAATTTTCATGTTTATCTACATTAATGATATATTTACATCGCTATAATGATTACAGTTTACAAACTCAGCTTAATCCATCCTGAAAACACAGTGTTGACTATCATGCGAACATAGCTTGTAATGGCATGTTAACCTCTTGTCCGAATGCGATGTGGGGCGAATTCGCTATTCATATTTATCCTACTAATAAGTAGCTGAATGGTTCCTAAATAAAATTTGCATTGCAACTAACCAACCTTCCTAAAAACTCCACTTGGAACCTTTCTAGGATTACTGCCGGTCCCAAATTAGGATTAAAGAGAAGGGTTAGATATAAAGTAAGTAACTTCACCTGGCAGTGAACATCCTTGCTAAAAGTCGATAACCAGAAAGAAACATTTTAATTCGTTTACAGTAGTTATGACGCCTCATAGTGAAAGCCTAGCTTTCGAATTAACGACCCCGATGTTCCTTCTGTCAACTAGAGAAACATTTAACATATGCATATGGAATGTCTTCTCAACGTGGGCGATCGGACGCTTTAGAAATTTAAAGGTGAAACCTTCAGGATCTTGAATTAAGTGAAACCAATTGACCACAAACTAAACAGGAAATATTAGCTTCGTCGGAGATGACTTATTCTGGTCATGACGAAGAAAACACTCCACACAAGAACTTGCATTGATGCTTTTCAAAAAAGAGTTTGTAGCATTGGAATCTCATGGACCGAAAATCATCAAAGCGATCTTAACAAGAAAGGCGGAGATTATATTAAATGCTACCCACTTCTATGCATATACTAATAGTAACAACGAAGACGATGAAGATCAGGTTTGTTAGAGGCCACAGTCGGTCGTAGAGAAATACCCAGGTTAGGACGTGACCGCCCTGATAGGAAACCTAAACACCAAGGTTGTAAAGGACAGCGCCGAATATCATGGGACGACATCGACTAGGAGAAAGCAACAAAAGCGGTCAGAGATTCACACATCTGTATGCCTTCGACAAAATGATTATAGGTGGCACCATATTCCCACACACGTATACACAAAGCTACATAGGTTTCCTGGAACAACACTACTGTGAACTAGATCGACTACATTTTCATCAATAGAAGTTTAGAGAAGCTGAGAAACCGCCAGACCACCACCTGGCGATGACCAAGATAAAACTGAAGCTAAAGATGCACTGAAAAACCGAGAAAACATCATTACAGAGTTCAATACAGTTTTACTTTGAGATAGTAGCAGACTCACTGAATTCGTGATGGCTTCCAGCGACAATTTTGAAGCCTTTCACTCAGTGGAAAGGAAACTAATTTAGTGAACAACTGGAGAAGTAATAACGAAGCAATGACTTCAACATGTTAAAAGGTGGAACTCTGTTCAGATTCTGGGTAAGATTCAAGAAAGGATGAACAAGAGAATAGCAATCAACAGTCGAACAAGAGCAGAGAAAGCCATAGCATAGGCTTAATACACGGAAGTGAAGATAAACATTAGGGCAGGTAAGTGGAAGACCTAGAAGTTACAGTGGATACTGCTGCAAAAGAACGAAATATGAGACAAATTTACGATGCACGGGAGAAGCTAGCTTGAGGTAGAGAATAAATAATGACACGTGACTAAAACTGGAGAATAGGTCATGGTAGTTGATTGAAAAGTCCTGGTCAGCAGCCTATGCTCCACGAGGGGTAACAGCACAAGTAAACATTTCTAAACTTGTACAGATTTTCGCATTTTCACAGTTTAATACCCCATTTGGCTTTTGACAATGAAGAAGCACTGACCAGCTCTTTAATCTTAGCACTATGGGAGTAATGCAGTCATCTACCAATCGCATTGGAAGATGCTCATGCTACATAGTGAATTGGTCGAAGCTAGAAATATAAACTGTTGGATTTCGCTCATGTCTAAATATCAAGCGTTTGCTGCGAGACCTGAAGCTTATATGTTCGGCTCCTAGTCCGGTTGCGGTTGCACATTTCTGTGTCTAGTGCTTTCCGAAACTTAACATACCATGTATATTTTTCCTGCTATCAAGACGAAACAAGCAATAATATTAGTCATACACATATCAGTCGAGTAGTGTCATTTGTGTATCTATCGAATTGTTCTAATTTTCAACCTGAGATCTACCCATGTTTAATCATGGTCAACTCATTCATCAGCCATTTGAATATAAAGCCATAAACTTAGCATTAAAACCAGAGATACTGCACAGTTTCTTAAACAGGAATAATCTGGATGAGGTTCGAATTTTGAACTTAGTAGCTGAAAATCCAACTGCTGAAGCCCAAAACCACTACTCTGACCAATGATTATCATGTTGTGTATCAAGGGAATATTGAAACTTTAGTGTTTTTAAATCAACTATCTATTATACAAACTGGATCAAGAATATTTCTATCTAAAATAAGCTTTAAAAAAAGAGATTGGTATTGTTAACTTGATAATATTTACATGTTAAACAAAATATTCTCATATTTGCAGAATGTTCTAACGCCTCATGTTTTGCTGATATAATCCCAATCCAATTTATGTTTGTATTGAATTATTTACATAATCTACGAATGGAATAACAGTTTATTGAAGGTTGGAATACTTTATTCAGATAGCATTAAAACAACGTAGTTATTACATGAAACAATAATTTAGAATATAGATTGGTTATTGTTAAAATTTGAAATAATAATCAATAAGTTAGTTATATGTACATATCAATATATATATATATATATATATATATATATATATATATATATATCTTTTATATTCACACTTGAAAGTGTTGATTAGATCAGCTAGTTTTTACTTCATTAATTATGCATCAGTTAAAAGTGAATATTGACAAGATGATACCTGGGACACCTGATTCATTTAATGAACATGACATCAAAACCATTAATGGTATCAAATCAATTTAATTTATGCCTTTCGTTAGCTTCGTTGATCAAGTAGTAGAATGAATAATATTTTTTCATTCTATTCTCCTATTGGGGATGTTAGATCCGCAGAACTTGCTTGATAAATCTCTTTATTTTGGATTTATTTCATGAACCGATCAGTTGACCTTGAGATCACATTTCCCACCAGGAAAATCCTTGGCTGTGATTGGTTACTGTGTCATTTTAGTGTGCTATTTTTGTGACTGTCCCAAGAACGTCTCTATAGAGTATAAATAAACGCAATTTAAGTGCTTGGATTCATTGTGTTCTGGCTGTGTGTTTGTAGAATACAGTTTCTACGCTATATCAAGACTTCTCGCTGACTCAATTTGGTCAAGGGATCACAATAGCCTACCTGAACGATGGTTCATTGTTTTGTTCTCATTATTCGACTAAGGCGAACTCGTAATAGTTTAAGCATACCTAGGAAACATGATTTGCTTTGAATTTATGATTTTTAATTTGTTTTAAATCCAGAGAAAGTTTTTGTTATTTATTTTACATACTAATTCATTCATATCATGTCATATCAAGAAGTAAACAAATCATTCTTTTTCAATGTTCAGTGTTGTTATATTAAAGTGAAGGATAAATTTAAAAAAGTGAAAGTGAAATAAAGAAATGGTGATTTCATTCATTCATTTTTGTAAACAGGTCTAGATAGTGAGACAGCTATCATTAATGATGATGCATACTGATCGTACAAACTGTACTAGCTAAACACTAAAGTACTGGTGAATCATCGAACTTTAAAGAAGTATTTACAAGGTTTTATGTTTGTCGTAATATCTAAAAATGTTAGTTTTCACTTTTGTTTGAATGGATTGTAATACATGTTATATAATTCGATCTGCAATATAGATTAGAAGAGAACACGAAATTTTTTGCGCACAATAGTCTGTCAATGTAAACATCTCAGTAGAATAGTAGTATGCTGGTTATGATGTAAACAGCTTAATATTAACATTTCAGTTGATTTGATGACCAAATATTTCAGACTCTTACTGCCTCAAGAATAATGAGCGCTGATGTGATCAAATAAGTATTACGATTGGACTTCGAAGTCTAGAAAACTGTGCGAAATGGCCAACAGAATGAATTAGAAAATCAATGACTACAGTACAAACCATTTTTCTCAATGATTTTAAACATATTAGTTTCGCACAAAAAAGATGTAATACAGTAGATGAATTTGGATTTTTAAAAGTGAGTAATGTATGAAATGTGAATAATGGTCGCGGTAGAGTTTCATAAAATAATCATGAAGTCGCACAATATCATAGATTAGTTGAAGTCATACATTAACACCATTTGACGTCGGTTCAGTGGTCAGGCGTTTGCTCGCAAGATCGAAGGTCCTGGGTTCCGTGCCCTCTTGCGAGGTCGCGCGCCAGGACTCCTGATGAGTTTCGTACTGAAACGAAACGACTGTCCAGTGCTTACAGGTTTCTAATGATGGTCTAACATTGGTTAATTCGTGATTTTAATGAAACTCAATGAAACTCAACAATCTCCAAAACCCTATAACGAAAATCAAAAATTATTTGAAGTAATCTCAACGATTAAAATATAAATCTGATATTTTACCTGGTAAACTAAGTCTGAACCTCTTAAGATAACAGTCAGTTTATAACTATGATGATCCATTCATAATTTCAATATTTCACTTCTAATGATTCTTATAATTGTTGTTTGTGTTTGGTTATGTTAGCTACACTTAACTAAATGAATGATATTTTATTCACGTTAAAAGTTATCTTTGCATTCATCCGTGATTCACACTCAACCATTTATTAGGGCTTATACAAACTCTTCAAATCTATAATTATTATGTAATTAGACTTAACAATATCCTCATTCTGGATAATTATCGCCTCTCCTCCCTTTATGTCTTCTATCCTTTTCCTTCCAATCTTACTAGTCATCACTGTTTGTTATTTTATTTTATATTTTATTTCAATACAAATACGGATGCAAGTAAACTGATAAGCAATCAAAAAATTAATATGAATCCACCAATGCTTATATAGTGAAAAATATTTACTCAGTCAGATTAATCAATAAATCAATAGCAGGGTAGAACTTCGTACGTACGCACATCAGTTCATGTTGCCACACCACATAAGCACAGAGATGTAATTGTCAATTCAAATCCCATAGTAGTAGAGGTGATAGTGGTACTAGCAGTAATCGGAGAGATTACGGTTAAAGAATATTGTTCAAAAAGTAGAATCAACCTAAAGGAAAAAGATAAAGTGATGAGGAATTCTCAGAGCTTAAGATGTGAGAGAACGCAAAGAATGGATGCAACTGCACCATTGCAAACAATTTTGAACCACGTCATTCAAGGTCTTAACCATCGGTTACTGTCATCTCGTGGGTCTCAACGAGGTAGTCTACACCTACCAACGTGAATCAGTTCATTTGTCAGTGACTTTATGGATTTCTGCCATGTTTCGGTCTGGCCGCCCCTAGCTTTCTTCCAACCTACTCCTACAACACAAAACATCGCCTGACAAGGCAGTCGGTGTTCGGGCATTGGTAATACATGTCCCAACCACCTCAACTGATGAAGTTTCACTACTTTATCCATTGATTAGCCATCCTAACGAGTATCCGTTTCCTAGCGACTACGTTGCTTACTCGGTTGTCCCAGGATACACGAGCAATGCTTCGAAGACACCTATGATCGAAAACCAGTAAACTACGAAAATCTTCTACTCTCATTGGCCATGTTTCACAGTCATAGAGAAGAACGGCGCAAACTGCTGCACACTACACTCCTCGTTTGGTTAGCAAACGGATATCTCGCCTGCGCCATAGGTGACGCAGGTTGGCAAAAGCCGATCGAGCACTCTGTATCCGTGCTGAGATTTCGTCAGTCACCAGGCCATCAGCACTGATGAGACTCACGAGATAAGTGAAGCGGTCGACACGCTCAACTACTTCACTGCTTATCACTAGTTCAGGTGCTAATGCAAGTCAATCCTAAATCAACATTTTGCATTTCGAAGAGGAGAACCACGTCCGGAAAATGCATACACTGTTGCTTAGGGTGGTCAGAAGACTGCGTTTTGTCACTACTTTATCGATTGATTAGCCATCCTAACGAGTATCCGTTTCCTAGCGACTACGTTGCTTACTCGGTTGTCCCAGGACACACGGGCAATGCTTCGAAGACACCTTTGATCGGAAACCAGTAAACTACGAAAATCTTCTACTCTGACTGGCCATGTTTCGCAGCCATAAAGTAGCATGAAGAGAACTACTGCGCAGTACACTCGTCCTTTTGCGCGAGGTGATAAGCGATCGAAGGAAGAGTTGATCGAGGAGATAAGAATTATTAGGTGTAGAAAGGATTTGATTGTGACCAATTTGGTCTCGTTTGTTTTTATGTGTATGAGGGTGGATGTATCTTCCCGGATGCACACACCGTGGGTTTTGTTTGTCAGAAGGGGCTTCGGCACCATGACTTCCGAAGGAACTCGGCTTTCATGATGAGACGTCATAATTCTTGCAAATGAAGACCTAATTCCCAGAGCAGAGTTTATTTGGTTTGAATTATCATTTCTTGTTAGCGTTTTTTTGGGAAGTTAGTTTTTTCGGGGATGGGTCGCCAACCCACATCTCAACCCTCTTCCTTTATCCGGGCTTGAGACTGGCAGTAGCCTCGAAGGGTCTACAGGCGGAGTTGCACATTCAAATAGTGTCAACTATACGACCGTGCTTTGATACTTCAGTTTTGTATTTAAGTGCCAATCTACATTGGGGAACACGAATTTTTTGCATATGCATGTCTGATTTGTTGGCTGTTTAGACTACCATACGCTCTCCTATCGATGAGTCGATTCAATTATCCAGTAGAAGAAATGAGAGAATATACACGAAAATGTGATTGCGGAAATTCGAACAAATTGCTTACAATTCTGTAGGTAATTAGATGGACTTAAACAAGAAACGCACTTATTACAACTCGTCAAAATATACTGAAAATAGACTTATCATGTTACTTTTTCAGTTTCTCTCAATAAATTAGCAATTTTTCTTGGATATTCAAAATGAAATGTATGAGCCAGCGATTCAGTTGTTGATAGTTAAATGCTTAGATCACAAATCGTTCACTTAACCAGTAAGCTAAGAATATCATGCAACCGAAGGCTATAGTCAATGTAACAATGAATATTTACAACTAAATTCTAATTAGTAAAGAAGCAGGGGTTATTAAATTTACACTAACTCTTTTGATCTAGTAAACTGTACAAGTAGATAAGGGAAAATGTGTTAAAAAAGATCACTGAATACGATTTCGAGTTGTTACGTTTTCAGGTATTCAATCCTTTCTGTACCTGGGGCTAACCTAGTACGTCAGTGAATAGCAAGTTGCAACTGGCAAGTGAATTAACTGTGTAGCTGATATATACATCACTCAGATATTTTAGATGATTTAATAGGTTGTATAAACGGTTACAACCATTAGCATACCTCCCTTAATATTAACAACCTTAAGCTAGCATATGTTATGTTGAGATTAGTCCAGTGTGTCATGAACCAGATCATATGTTACGGCTCATTTAATGTTGTACGATTAGGACTGATACTGTTAACAGTAAGAGATCTGAGATTTTATGCAGAACTTTAGCTTACTTAATATGGTAGTTTTGAGCAGATTTACTGATTAAATTACTAGTCGAAATTTAAACTATAGACTTCTTGTAGTTTTATAACACGAACTGACGTTGAAAGCAGGGAACACAAACACCCGATTTTTTTTAGAATGAGGCTACTCAGAAGAGCCTACTCGTGATCCAACCAAAGTCATTAAGACCTAACGGAGAATGTTTTACCTTCAGACATTTGAGATGGTTCTACATATCAAACTGTAGTCAGACATGACGACAGTAGGGCATATTCCTCGGTCCGTCGGTATCCGCATTGATCTTTTGTTTTCAAAAAGTGTGAGTCAGACAAGATACCCTAAAAGTAACACCTCACATCATTGTCTCAGACATCAGACCCTTTACATTACGGGGCTAGCATATTTGAAATTGTTAAAAAAGACGCCGGGTGTGCCTGCTGTCAAGTGGTTCTCTCTAATACTTGTCAAGACCACCTCAGAATCACGTACCCCAAGAATTATCCTACCGCAATGTGGGTAGCAAAGAAGTGGAAATCGCCCGCAAACTTCTAGCAAAATTGTTTTTGACCAAAGTAGTCAAACACGAACACACATCTTAAAGCGAACAGAAACCAAACCTCTACACAATAGTTATCGGCATCATTTAATCATTAATTAAATGAAGCATATTTACGAAGAAAAGGGCACTTAAACCTCAGACAACATATTCCAATGGACATGTTCTCAACTACACCACACATAAACAAGACCTACTGCTGCTACGAATGATGATACGAGTAGTAATGAAACCATTATCAATAATAATATGAATAATATACAATTAAACGTATTGAAAACATTCGCATAAATTGTGATTATTATTGATTCCTCTCAACTCTTTTACAAATATCGCTTATGAAAGGTTAAAAAAAGGGAAACTTATGATTATTTTTTATACTAAAGAAAGATTATATAACGTTATAATATATATATATATATATATATATATATATATATATATCGCGAATGGATTTACACAGTACAATACACAGTAAACTTTAACATTCAGAAAAAGGGCAAAAAAGAGAGGGAGAAAAAGAGAAAATAAAATGCAGTCCTTCATTCCCATTTTATCCATAGTGTAAGTGATAATCGAATATATTTGTTGTTTAATTTAGTTAGAGTTATCGGATAAGTGAGTGACCAATAGAGTGAGTTAGTGATTAGTAGTTGGTTAAAAAAAAAAACAAGAGAGAAAAACCAATAAGTAGAGCGTTTTTGTTTCAACTTTATTTCTCTAAAAAAACTTTACTTATTTGACATCACAAAAATTGTAGAAAAATTCACAGAAACAGAGAGAGAGAGAGAGGAATTAGTGGAGAAACAAACAGAAGGGAAAAAATAGTATTATAGCCAGTGTAGCAGCATAAACAAACACATAAACATATTTCACGAAGAATCGACACAATTTACTTTGGACTGTGAAGAGTCTGCTTTATTGCAATAAATATTGTGATCAATAACAACATCATTATTCATAGAAGTAGTAGTAGTTGTATTATAATTAGTATTAGTACTATTAGTAGTAGTAGTAGTAGTGGTAGTAGTAGTAGTAGTAGTAGTAGTAATGGTACCGCAATCATTTATTGTTAAATTAGTTCGAAAATCCAATGTTTCATTTCTATAACAATTTACACTATCGTCATCATTATTATCATTATTATTATTATTATTGACAACAGACCCATTAATCTGTTTTTTACTTTCAATCATTATTACAGAGTCATCTGAAAGTGTATTCACAGAATCTGGTTTATCGATTGGTGATTTATTATTATTATTATTATTATTCATACAATTATTTAATGGGAATTTTTTATTATCTACAGAATCCTTATAATTATGCTCATCAAGATTGTTATCAATCATTGTTGTTAAATCTTTATTAGCAGAAAGTGATGAATCGGTTTCCTTAATTGTATTATTATTATTATCATTATCACTAATTGGATTGTTCATTGGTGAATGAGTCTGATTATCGGTGTCAGGGCATATTGTTGTCGTTCCTGTCATTCCGTTTGTTGACAGTTGTTGTTGGTGTTGTGATTGTTTATTGACCAGATCTTCTTTATTTACATATTTATGACTTGAAGTAGTGGACAATTCTTGTGAGGTTGGATCCGAAACTACCAGTGTCTCTGGCAGTACGACAGTTACGGCTGAGGACTGTGCTAAAAGTTCTGCTACAGCAGAAGGTGTTGGGATCGGTGGAATTGTTGACATTTTTACATTTCTATCATTATTATTACTATCTAGTTGATGAAAACCTGGAAGTAAACGATGTAGTGCACCACATAAAAGATGTGCAACAGTAGCATCAAGTACCCGTGAAGTTACTAGATCCATTAAACGTAGCTCTAAATCTGGTGTGAAAGCTAATCGACCTTTAGAATCGATAGCTAGTCTATCAAGTAGAGCACCTGCACGACGGACCATTTCTAAGCTTGTCCCCATTAATTCTGGTCTTTCTTGTAGAGCTTGTACACCATATTGATCAATCACTCGCCTGGTCGTAGCTTCAGCCGCTTCAATAAATGATAGTAATCCAGATATAGGACAAGGTTTAGCACCAGCAAGCATAGTTGTACCAATATATATCCCTGAAGATGCATTTGTTTCATTAGTAGTACCTTTCCCAATATTTGAAGATACAGAAGAGATAGAAAATGAAGCACCTCCACCAGCAAGATAATGCATTGTAGATAAAGCTAATTCACGTGTCACTTGATCTTCTGGTACAGCAAGCCAAGTAGCAAGTCTATCAAATAGTTTAATAAGAACTTTTTCGTCGGAAGGAGTAGACAATAGAAGATCTACGTTTGTTTCATGTACACATAGACGATTTAAAGCTTCAAGTGCTAAACGACGAGGACTAAGAGTTCGATGTCCTGGGAAAGGATCAACTGAGGCTGATGTTGAACATGTTATCCAGTGTAAGAGACCTTCCAGAATAGGACGTACTATTGACTCATCAAAATGAATTAATTCTAAATAACCAGCGACATTAACTAATAGTACCATAGCATTTTCTCGCATATCTTCTAACCATGTAGGCGTCCACCAAGCACAAAAACTAGATTCTAAAGCATGAGCTTTTTCTTCTACTACTTTCCATGTATCATTTTCTCCAACATGCTCATGTCCAAATAACATTAATCGTCCAACTAAAGCCAACACACCTTTTTGTTTGCTCAATTGACGTTCAACTGTATTGATAAATGAAAGATTACGTAAAACAGTTGAAACACATAAACAACGAACAGCACGGGCTTCATAACTGTCAGCTTCATTATGATTCGGCCATAGACACACGGAACCATAATGAACCAGTTCTTCACGAGCACGAAGTGGACAACAACCATTTTCATCGATTAATTGGGAAAATTCCAACTCATCATCATCATCATCATAATTATCACATACAGAACTAGTCACATTATTCAATTCTAAGAGTTTATTACTACCATTGTTATTATCTTCAGATATATCACATACTGGTTGAGGTGATAGTGTAGGACAAGGAAGAGACGAAGAAGACGTACGACGTAAACGTTTATTAGACAGTGACTGTTCATCATCTTCTTCTTCGGATTCATTCATTTTGGTCATCGATACATCATTTAATTCATCACTTAAAACAGGTTGCTTTATTAATGAATAAGAATGTCCGCCAACAACTATTACTGGAGATGAATTTGTGGAACATTCTGTTAAATTAGGCAAATAATCATTATCAAAATACAATGCATTATTATTATTATTATTATTCTCTTGTTCATTCATCCAATGTGAACTTTGAAATGCATAAGCACCAAATGGTGGCATTATATGACATGTTGTATCGCCACCACCCTTCTCAATTAATTGTCGTAACAGCATACCGGAGGATTTCGTCAAACACGATAATGATGATGATATTTTCGGATTTAATTGGTGATGATCATCAAGATTAGTATTACTACTATTCATTTCAGATGATGTACAGTTGTTATTGTTACTATTTGATGATTCAAGCAAAGTGTCAATAACATAGAGCGCTAAATCCCTCAAATTTGAACAAGCTTCCGGTGATCGTAAACTGTCTACAATAGATGTCACTTGTGGAGATGACCAAGTCACTTTACTGCTACCGTTATTGTAATTAGATTTAATTAGGTTAGCTGTTGGCATGTTTATATTAGAGAGTTTGTAAGGATGCTGTTGTTCACTTGTTGTTATATGACCAACAACACATGTAGGTATAAAATGTGGTGATGATGACGATGTTGTTATTGCTGATGACGAGAACACTGAAGCCGACATTTGTTTACCACGTTTCCTAGATCGATAACTTATAGACGATCCTACAGAACTTGTGTTTGTATCAACTAAGCGATGTGAAGAATTACAAGAGGTTGTTGTTGCTGTTATTGTCAATGAATTGACTGGTACTATGGTAGATAAATTTTCCAATGGTAACATTAAACCATTACGTAAACGAATAGGAATATTGCTAGATTTCGAATCATTGCATTTGTTCAGCAGTCGACGTAAACCAGCACGCACAGCAGACAATGGTACATTTTTACTAGCAGCAATTCGACTTATTTCACGTTCCAATTGACTTAAACTACTATTGTTATTAATATTATGATCATTAGATGAATCAGTAAGGTAAGATTTGTTTTTCATAACATTGACATGTGTCAGGTTAAATTTGAGTGGACTATTGTATTGTGAAGTATTTTTCAGCACTAAATTCTGTTTGGTCTCAGTGCATGATAGTGACGGAGAAATGGTTGATAAGTCAGTAGGTAGCTCCAAAGTAGTAATAAATAACTTATGATCAAATAATTCACCTAATGTGTGACGCCATAAATCGACTAAACTGGTAAGTAGACCAGGCAATGCACTTGGAACAATGAAATCTAATCCATTTTCATCTCTCAATAAAATATTTAAACAATTTAATGCCCAAGATACTTCAGCTGTTAATCCTGATCGAAGAGCCATCAATAATTTGAATGGTGCAATAGTGCCTGCATTGAAGAAAAAGAAAAAAGTATTAAATAAAGAGATAATCAGATTAAGGAAATTATCTAAACATACTATCAATAAATCTACGTATCTAAACATAATTTGTGACCGAATATATGACAGGCATAAACAATGGAATATATAATCTGTCCAACTTCGAAATTGTATTCAGTTAAGTGTGAATACATCATTTCCGATGGTATTTGTTGTTACAACAAGATATAAAGATGTCGTTCATAATTAAAACTTGGTTGCATATGCTACTCTTCTGTGACAGTCGGGCTTGACTGTCAAAATGACTTCATCAAACTGAATCGATTGGAATATTTGTTCACTCAGATCCATGCCATCACAAACCAGAGCAGTTGGATAGGCACTAAAGCCACCAAACTCAATGGTAAACAGTGAGGCTGTACCATAAACTGCACTAACATGTGATGATAGTAGGATGGTTTCCTCAGTCAACCAGCATTTGCAATGATTTTTCCTTTCAAACACAGGGGTGAGTTAGAAAAGTTCGATCCTAAAAATAATACAGATTGTGAGGACCACTTCAAAACCATGAAACCCAATAAGAATTATCCTTTCACAATGTGGGCAACTAGGAACTGGTGAACCCTTCGCATAACTCGGACAGCGCTCGGGACCACCTTGTTCAACTAACGATCTAGATTTTAGCAAAACTTTCAATGATGTTTAAATATTCATAACCATATTTCTCAAATAACAAACATCATTACAACAAAATCTATTGAAATACTATGGTTTATAGAAGCTAAACCCATAGCATCGTTGTTATTAAATCATTTCATTTCAGAATAGACTGAAGTGTGAATTTAGTTTGGTACATAGTAAAACTATCCTTGCTTCACACTTAGTAATCATTTATACAAAAAACAACCAGAAATGAGATTGATTATATACATTGAACAAGTATTCCATCTAACAATATGAGCCTTTAAGCTTACTACCAAGTTAAAACAACAAACATTAAGAAACATGAAAATAAAAGAAAACATAATTGCATACTCAAAAAGTAAATAATACATCATCAATGTGTTTTGCTGGTTCAAATGAAGGCAAACAAATCCAAAACGGAACATGAATTCAACTAATGTTCTTGTGTCGTTTATTTTTGTCAGTAAAGAAATGGGAAAATCGATCGAAGGACAAAGTAAATCATTCAAAAACTTATGAAGTAGGCAAACGTATGTATGCGAGAGTGTGTGTGTATGTGTGTAGGAATGAGTAGACGGTTTAGTGTGAACACACATACACATATTACAAGTTTAATGAAGATTGTATACTACGAACAACATGTAATTGTTGGTTGACGGTATTAGTTATTAGAGAAGACAATTCAGTTAAATTAAATACAACTAATATTTCTGCTACATGATTGTAAACAGCGAATTAGTAAGTGCAAAAGAAATCGAAGGTGTATTATTCTGTAGAAATTAATAAAATGTGATGCCATTAGTGGTGATCAACATAGAGTTTGGCACACAAATATGTAACGTTAGCCTGAAATTGTCTTACTGAACAAATACAATAAGATGAATAGCAAAAAAGATCGGAATAGTATAAAAGCAATAAATATGAGAAAGCTTGAGTACTAAAAATATATGGTTCAAAAAGACAGAATGGAAAGCTATGTTATGAAAGAATACTAAAACTCAATATCTAGAGTACGACAAAGAATGAATTCCTTCGTACTTAAGACCCATGTCATTCAACGGTTCCTAACACTGATTGAGGATTACGGGTTCGATTGTGACTAATTTGATGTCGTCTGCTGTTACGGGTATGAGGGTGGATGTCACTTCCCCACTGCCCACACCGTGAAAGGGTCTTCTTCAGGAACCTGAAAAGGAAGGTAGATTAGTGTCAGCCTGAGCGACCACGGAGCGTGACCGCAGAGCCCAAAGACTACTGCTTAAGGCCTGTCACGCACAGCCTTTTCACTAGAAGTCCTTAACATATTAGCTTCGCTCTTCAAAAGGTCTTACCACCGAAGACGGAAATCTATCGGGCAAAGTGAGGTGTGACACTTTTGGGGTCAACCTTTTCTAACCCTTCCTTCTGTTATGAGAAGGCAACATCACTCCAGATGATGGTTGTCTAAAAGAAACATAATACAGCTGTCACACCGCTCTACAGTCAGTAGTACGACTTCTACCTCAGACCTTGAGTTGCTGCTTTTAGTGTTACTGTTCTCTAATCGACCTGCCTGGCATGGTGGGACCTAAAGGAACATATGTTTCAGACAATACAGATTGTTTGGGTCATCAAGATAGGCCAGCCCGATCACCATGTGAAGGTAGCAGTTACGGTCGGTCGATTTATCTACTAGTCACGTAAAATAGCTGTAGTGTCTCACATACATTTCATTTTGTTCACATTTAATTTGGTTAGGCCCTTTTGGTTAACTTATTTAACTGAGTCATTCGCATAACAATAACTTATCTGTAACAGTGTGCTTTTATTATTGTCACGTTTTGTATGAGCAAGTATGACTGAGGATTGCTTACGGCCCACGTACATATTCATCCTAATCGTTTTAATATTAGCCTCTTAAATAATTCAATGAGTAATTTCATTTAATTTTGAGAAGCATTATTAATTAGGACTATTAAATAAACTGAAATCTAAAACTTTTTACATACCCAAATCTTTTGCTCGGTATCGTCGACGTCGGAGTGAATCAATAGGTGTAGCTTCAATACTGCCTGGAGGGAAAGCACAATGATCCAAGCGTTTTAAAATAGTGGTAACGTATCCTGGTCGCTGAAAAACACAACCAAGAAATAAACATTATAAATAAATGCATAAACAGAAGAATACTTAGGTAAACACCAGTAGTTTCCATCCATCAACCAAGTATATATATATATATCCATCTCAGCGCTTTGGATGTCCGGTTATGTCTAGTTCTTTAAAAAAGGGAACCTAGTCTTCCAGTAGTGTTCGTTTGTCATTGCGATTGACAGAGTTACAACACATCGGTATACACATGAATCGGAAACTGTTCTATCACTTTCTTACACTTATTATCACCAATTTCTTAGAATTCATATATCCCTGGTTAGCTGGCTTCTTTTCTATTAGGTGAGGTTGCTACTCCCACGCTCAACTCTCCTCGTTTATCCGGGTTCGGGATTAGCAATAAACTTATAGGGGCTCTAGGTAGAGTTCCTAATTCATATTGTATCCCATGATGAGAATATGCTTTCATTGAATGACAAAGGTTTTAGTCGCTTTAACCTAGCAGTCCAATAGTAGTACAAAACTCAATAAGCCAACAACAAAATGTAACACATATAGGATAAAAGAATAATGTATCGATTTTTACCCCCATTATGAAAGAAATTTTTAAACAGTTCACATTTACAAATAAACGATTAAATGCCAGTACTAAAACATCAAACATACGTTCATCAATCGAAATGTTAGTTGATAACTCCTTACCTGATTATGATGAATTATGTGGGGTGGCACAGGAGTGGTATGATTCAGGTTGTTGTTATTGATGATACTATTATTAGTAGTACTACTAGTACATAATGGAGAGGCAGTAACACCGGGAATATATGGGGGCATATGGGGAGCTCCTGAACGTATTTGATGCATACGAAGCAGTGCAATTGATTCTCCACCAACACCACCAGGTGGAGTAACCGGATTGAAAGACGGTGTACGGAAGGAGTGACCACTCGGATGACGAGGATGGAGTGGAGTTTGAGATCCTGGAAATGAGTACTCTATGGTTTGTGGAGGACCAAGATGTTGGTTGAGCATGGGATGCAATGGATTTGCAGCAAATGGAGGACCTTGATTTAGATATGGATTAACATTATGCTGTGTCATAGGTTCCCCACCTACCATAGCACCTGATGCACAAGTAGAATAAGGCATGCCAACATACATAGCTGATGAAGGTGGGATATTGTTATTAGGTGGTAGATTCCCAGATCCCATACGACCTGCAAAAAGATTATTAACATTACAATCGCATTATCGGAAAAAGAGTGAACAATAAGTTACACATTAAATATAACAGGAGAAATAATAGCATCTATGATGTTTGAATTAGGTCATGTATAACGAGCAGTAAAGCCCGTATTGAAAAACAACTTATTCTATTTATTTGTTGTTACAAGGCAAATAAGTCTATACAAGAAAGAAAAGAAATATTGTAAAGATTAGTGCACTTAATTGTGGGTCACACTCTCTTCAATGTGTATGGAGTCTAGCAATAATGCAATTGAACTGCCTATCTAAATCGAATTCGGTGGAGCGGGACTTGAAATCAAGAAAGACACATCATGCATTAAACCATTGCTTCACGAAATTCGTTAGCCTATACACATAATGTTTGGCCTAGTCAGATAATTAACGATGTGAGGCTTGGATCCACGATCCAGAAAATTAAATCATGTTCTACTGAAGAAGCTAATTGAGTTATTGATCTTAAACTATTTAATCATCATTGATTAATTCAGTAAACTTCCTATCTACACAACACTTTACAAACTAATGAAACTTTTAAGTGTCGTGTATGAAAGAAGGAAAAAAAATAAAGTTGAAACTTCAAATTTCAATACTTACTTTGAGTATATTGAGATGAGGTAGTTTCACGATTTGTCAATATAAGACCTTGTCCTGTTGCCACTGGCTCTGACGCTGATGGTGGTTGCCGATAAATGGTAGGCTCAGAGTTATTATTTTCAGAAGCCCATGACCATGGACAACAATTATTATCCGAAGTAGACAGAGATATGCTTGGATAACCACTGATTACAGCACATGAAGGACGTTGTGGTGAAGCAACATTAGGAGTGGGACCGGAAGATGGTGGTGGGTACGAATTACTGCTTTGTCCTGACATTCCAGGTGGACTAGGGATATTTGGGATAGCGCTGGGACTTTCAGGGACAGTAGAGACACTACCTGGTTGACCTTGATCACTAAAACGCTGCTGTTGAGATGGAGGACCAAGCTGACTATCACTTGCTGCACTTCCAGCAGTTCCACTTGGTCCTCCAGACAATGAAGCACCACTGCTACCAGGAGGTAAAAGGCTGGACGATGCCGAAGAATGACTTCCAGTTGGTGATGGGGGAGCAGGAGGAGCCAAACCACTAGAAATACTATTGGGATCACTATCAACTGAAGAACATTTTCTCTTTTTTCCCGATAAATTCTCTATATGAGCGAGCAATGGACGAGGATCAATACCACCACGATCAAAACGACATTCATACTCAAGCAGGAATTTACAATAATTTTTGCGTAAGGCATATGCTGCTGAAGCAGATGCACTGATATTCAGTGCTTGACTTATTTCTTTCCATCTTCGACCTTTTATTACTTCTGCTACACCACCACGTTCCCTAACAGCTACATATAATCGATAAAGATCCAGTGGTTGTTTGACCACTTGCGGAAGACCGGCAACTGGCTTTCCAATACCATCCATATAACGTATGTAGTGTTCAAGCCATGGACGCCGCTCAGGTTCCGTTCCCATCTCTATAAGTTTATGAAAACCAGTAAGACTTTGACTAGATACATTACTTAAGGGTTGATGATTAGACCCAACATCTGAATGTGTCTCATCGGTCGAATATAATGAACTTTGATTACCAGATGAACTAGCAGTATTTTGAGATTGTTGGTGTGGGATCTGTGAGTTTGAAGGTGAATGATACTGTTGTTGATAGCCTTGAAATGACGGGGACCCTTGCAATGTGTCTCTGCCAATAATGTTATTAAGAGTACCGCTACTCTGAGATCCAAGTGGACCAAGTCCTAATCCTGAAGGATAATTTCCCATTCCTGGATACTGTTGAAGTTGAGAATGATTGGACTGTTGACCTAAGCGATTTTGAAATTGTTGTGGAACATGAACAGAGTTGAGTTCACTAGGTGTCACACCAGTCTGACTAACAGTAATTTGAGATGAAATTGAAGTAGGACAGCTAGGATTAACCGGACGAATTGATGGATCAACCTGATCATTGAAAAATAAGAAATCAGTAAATGGAGTTAATTTAAGAATAATCATCTTACAAACGCAAAAGCCGACAAAAAACTTGAGAAAAGCAACTAACGACGCCGGGAGCCCCTCGCCCGGTTACTCCAGGTTCTCATCTCGGATAAGGAGGGTTATGCCTAGGGTTAGCGAACCCATCCCCAAAAAAACCTACTCGGTAAAACACGCTAACCAGAAAAAATAATTCAAACCACTCAAACTCTACCCTGGGAATTAGGTCTTCATTCAGAAAAGTTAGGACGTCTCATGATGCAAGACGAGTTCCTTTAGAAGTAACGAGACCTGTGCCGTTTCCGACAACCAGATACCTTCCACGGTGGCCAGCTGTGAAGAAACATCAGCACTAATACCCGTAAAAGCGCACGACACCAAATCGGTCACAATCAAATAATTTCTACACCTAATAACTCTCTTCTCTACACCACAAAACCCTCCTCAAATTCCATTATCACTCCGCACCGCTAATGCAAACGATTCGAGTTTACGAAATATTATTCCTGGTCGCCGGAAACCACAACCAGGTTGCCTACATCTACCAACATGATTCAGTCAACTTGTCAGTGACTTCATGGATTTCTGCCATGTTTCGGTTTGGCCGCCCCTAGCTTTCTTCCAACCTATTCTTACAACAAAAAAACATCGCCTGACGAGGCAGTCGGTGGTTGGGCATACGTGACACATGTCCCAACCACCTCAACTAATGAAGTGTCACTACTGCGTCTATTGATCTGCGATTCTTACCTAGCACCCGATTCCTAATAACAGCGTTGCTCACTCGGGTGTCCCAGGATATACGAGCAATCCTTCGAAGACACCTATGATCGAAAACCAGTAACCTACGAATATCTTCTACTCTCACTAGCCATGTTTCACAGCCATAAAGTAAGACGTAGCGAACCACTGCACAGTACACTCGTCACGTTCAACGTCTTTTTTTTTCAAATTCATAATCAATTTTAATGAACACTACCTAATTCATTTTTGGTTTGGACGCCCCTAGCTTTCTTCCAACCTACTCCTACAACACAAAACATCGCCTGACAAGGCAGTCGGTGTTCGGGCATTGGTAATACATGTCCCAACCACCTCAACTGATGAAGTTTCACTACTTTATCCATTGATTAGCCATCCTAACGAGTATCCGTTTCCTAGCGACTACGTTGCTTACTCGGTTGTCCCAGGATACACGAGCAATGCTTCGAAGACACCTATGATCGAAAACCAGTAAACTACGAAAATCTTCTACTCTCATTGGCCATGTTTCACAGTCATAGAGAAGAACGGCGCAAACTGCTGCACACTACACTCCTCGTTTGGTTAGCAAACGGATATCTCGCCTGCGCCATAGGTGACGCAGGTTGGCAAAATCCAATCGAGCACTCTGTATCCGTGCTGAGATTTCGTCAGTCACCAGGCCATCAGCACTGATGAGACTCACGAGATAAGTGAAGCGGTCGACACGCTCAACTACTTCACTCCCTATCCCTATTCTTGAAGCAACATTTTGCATTTCGAGGGTGAGAACCACATCCCGAACATGCTTGCATTGTTGCTTAGGGTGGTCAGTAGACTCTGCATTTTGTCAGTGTCTTCACCAAATATAACGACGTCATCAACATACTGTAAATCAGCAAGCGTGTCTCCTGGTAAAAGCTCTACTCCTGAATAGTTAGACGAGGATAAGGTTATTGCTAAGAGCATGTCTATGATAAAATTAAACAAGAATGGAGAAAGTGGACAGCCCTGACGGACACCACTTGAAGTGAAGAATTCCGGTGACAGTTTCCCATAAGCTCTCACCCGATCAGTAGTTTTAGAATAGGAAGCTTGTATAAGGTTGATGTACTTCTTTGGTACACCTTCCAATGATAGACACTGCCACAGAACCTCACGATCCACTGAGTCAAATGCCACCTTTAGGTCCAGGAAGACAACTATTGTAGGACGTCTAAATGTGTGTCCGTGTTCCAGGACATGTCGTAGTGTGAAAATGTGGTCTACACAACCACGTCCTGGAAGAAAACCAGTCTGGTTTTCTCTAGTCTGCTGTTCACGATCTCTAGTAAGGCGTCCAAGTATAATCGAGGCTAGCAATTTAGAAACTATGTTAGTTAGACTTGTTGTGAGCGAGACGTGATACCAGATTGACTATGCTCACCACTAAATGTTCCATGATAACCCGTCATGATTAAAAGCAAAATAAATCTATATTCCAAGGTTTTATTGAAGGAGAACGTTGGCATTACATGGGGAGCAGCGAGTAGATAAAGATGGCAGCAACGCGAAGAGAACGTTGCGCGCAAGAAGTCGTAGAAGTGTTTTTGGTACAGTTAAACAAAGGATGCACAATAATGTTTATTTTTCACAAATCGTATTTTCCTCAAACAAGCGTTCCACTACAGACTTATTCCCCTGTGATTGTCACAAGAAGACTTTTGTCCTTTCTTATAGATTGGGACAATCAAGGATTGAGACCAGTCGGATGGGATTACGTCCAGTTCCCAGATTCTACCTAAGATCTCAGTCAACCTAGCTGCTAAAACTGGACCACCATCCTTAAATATCTCAGGGGTCAGTCTACCAGGACCTGCAGCTCGCCCTTGCTTCAGATTTCCTAACGCATTCTCAACTTCATAAAGAGTCGAGGGACTTAGGTCGATTTGCCATTCAGGATGACTGGAGATCGTGGGTAACCGAAGAGTGACTCGTGGCCAGTTGAACTGATCCCTAAAGTGTTCTGCCCATCAGTACAGTCTCCTAGATTGAGAATGGATAATAAGACCATCCTTTTCTCAGATTGCCTCACTCACATTCGGATTCCCAATACCGGTTTCCTTGATAAGGAGGACTAACCGTTTACTTTTGCCTGTCGCCGCTGCCTTTTCCATTGCTCTTGCTTTCTCTACACACGATTGCTCGCGATAATTGCGGAGGCTTTTCATGAGCCTGCGCTGACTCCGCTACTCATAGTACTCAGAGCCAGACAGGATGAGTTTATGAGCGTCTATCGGTTAGGTGGATGCTACTGATTTCCACGGCTTCTTCCGAGCCTTATGGTTTACCTTGCTAGCAGATATCGCTGCTGTTTCCACAGCTTTCTTTATATCAATCCAAGCTACCACAGGATGGAAATTACCTACATGGTCGTCTAACTGTTTTTCTAGTTGTTCCTGAAATATATTCTTAGCTCTGCTTTCATTAAGTAGGACCCTGATAGGTTTCCTTGCAGAGTCTTTCCTACGTTCAGTAAGCCTCAAACAAATACGCGCTCGCAATAGGGCATGATCTGAATCTAAACATGTGCCCCAGAACGAGCGACAGTCCTCTATCGAACCCCTCCATCGGTGGCTGATGGCAATGTGATCTAGTTGGGTACAACGTTGTGACGACTTTGGGGGTCTCCAGGTCAAGAGGTGCTTTTCTTTATGCCTAAAGTTAGTGTTTGTTAGAAATAGGCGGTTATCTGAGCATAGTTGCAACAGACGGTCGCCATTGTCAGTTCTCTGAGCCGCGACACCATAACATCCACCTAGGTGTCTTTCCTTTTCACCTAGTCTACCTACTTGAGCATTGAAGTCACCAGCCATTATTACTATATCAGAGTGCCTAACTTTTTGGAAGAGGTCCGTAAGCTTTCTGTAGAACTCATCTTCCACCTCGTCTGAACTGCAGTCAGTGGGGGCATAGGCAGATACGATGAAGGGGCAACGACGGGTGTCCCTACCTTTCTGAGCCCTTACTGTCCCGTTCAGTCGGACGGCGCACAAGCGACTATCTACAGGGATCCAGTCAAGGAGAGATTGTTCTGCCCTACGACGTAATACTATACCTACACCAGTGAGACGCCGTGAAGCAGCATCAGGGCTACCGGATACACAAAGAGTAAATCGAGCTGCTTCTTTGTTTTGACAAGGCGATTTCAGATTACCGACTTTACTAGGATACTGTATGCGCATCTCCGAGACGCAGCATACATCGATTGAGCGAGATCCTAATGTTCTAGCTAACGACCTAATTGACACAATGTCCGTACAATAAATCCTCCAACATGTAGTCTAGAACGGGGTTTAAGGAAACCAGGAACGACGTTTCGCCAATTCTAACCCTTCCTTCCTTGTGAAAGGCAGCATCGCTGCAGATGCTGGTTGTGCGAGGGAAACACCTGACTGTTGTCACACCCCTCTACATTCAGCAGTACAACTTCGCCCTCAGACATTGAGTAGCTGCTTTTAGTCTCATCGTTCTCCAATCGACCTGCCTGGCATGGTAAAACCTTCAGGAACATATGTTCCAGCCAATATTGCTCGGTTGGGTCATCACGATAGGCAAGCCCGTCCACCACCGTCAAGGTAGCAGCTTCGGTCGGGCTTCGAAACAGCTTCCAAGCTTATCCAAAAATCCACGGAAACAGCAGTGATATCTGCCTATAAGGTAAACCATGAGGTTAGGGAAAAGCGGTGGATTTCAGTGGCATCCACCGAACTGATGGATGCGAAAGGCAGCGACGATAGGCAACAGTAGACAACTGTTCAGACTTATCACGGAAACAAGTATTAGGAATCCGACTGTAAGTAAGACTATTTCGGAAAAGGATGGGCTTATCATTCATTCTCAATCCAGGAGATTGGACAGATGGGCAGAGCACTTCAGGGATCAGTTCAACTGGCTTTTAGACACACTTTGGTTACCCATGATCTCCAGTTAACCGGGATGGCAAATCGACTATGTGAAGTTTAGAAAGTTATAGGAAATCTGAAACGAAGGAGAGCTGCAGACCCTGATAGACTGACCCCTAATATGTTTAAGGATGGTGGTCCAGTTTTAACAATTAGACTGACAGAGACCCTAGGTAGAATCTGGGAACTGGACACAATCCTATCCGACTGGTCTCAATCACTGATTGTCCCAATCTGCAAGAAAGGACAAAAGTCCTCATGTGACAACCACAGAGGAATCAGTCTAACTAATAAAGTTTTTAAATTGTTATCCTCGATTAGACGCCTTATTCGAGCTCGTGAGGAGAAGAATGAAGAACACAGGCTGGTTTCAGAAATGAACGTGAATACATACACCACATGTTCATACTACGTCAGGTCTTGGAAAACAGACAAATTTAGGCGTCCTACAATAGTTTTCTTCATGTATATTAAATCAAAATTTGACTCTGTTGATCGTGAGGTTATGTGGCAGTGCCTGTCATTGGAAGTAGTACCAGAAAAGTACACTGACATTATTCGTCAGGGATATGCACTTTGTCCATTTTTGTTTAATTTTGTCATAGACCTGCATTCAGAGATAACATTATCATCGTCCGACCCTTCAGTAGTGGACCTTTCATCAGGAGCCACGCTTGCCGACTTAGAATATGCCGATGACATTGTCCTACTTGGTGAAGACGCTGGCACACACCCACGGTGTGTGCATCCGGGAAGATACATCCACCCTCATACACATAAAAACAAACGAGACCAAATTGGTCACAATCAAATCCTTTCTACACCTAATAATTCTTATCTCCTCGATCAACTCTTCCTTCGATCGCTTATCACCTCGCGCAAAAGGACGAGTGTACTGCGCAGTAGTTCTCTTCATGCTACTTTATGGCTGCGAAACATGGCCAGTCAGAGTAGAAGATTTTCGTAGTTTACTGGTTTTCGATCATAGGTGTCTTCGAAGCATTGCTCGTGTATCCTGGGACAACCGAGTAAGCAACGTAGTCGCTAGGAAACGGATACTCGTTAGGATGGCTAATCAATGGATAAAGTAGTGAAACTTCATCAGTTGAGGTGGTTGGGACATGTATTACCAATGCCCGAACACCGACTGCCTTGTCAGGCGATGTTTTGTGTTGTAGGAGTAGGTTGGAAGAAAGCTAGGGGCGTCCAAACCAAAAATGAATTAGGTAGTGTTCATTAAAATTGATTATGAATTTGAAAAAAAAAGACGTTGAACGTGACGAGTGTACTGTGCAGTGGTTCGCTACGTCTTACTTTATGGCTGTGAAACATGGCTAGTGAGAGTAGAAGATATTCGTAGGTTACTGGTTTTCGATCATAGGTGTCTTCGAAGGATTGCTCGTATATCCTGGGACACCCGAGTGAGCAACGCTGTTATTAGGAATCGGGTGCTAGGTAAGAATCGCAGATCAATAGACGCAGTAGTGACACTTCATTAGTTGAGGTGGTTGGGACATGTGTCACGTATGCCCAACCACCGACTGCCTCGTCAGGCGATGTTTTTTTGTTGTAAGAATAGGTTGGAAGAAAGCTAGGGGCGGCCAAACCGAAACATGGCAGAAATCCATGAAGTCACTGACAAGTTGACTGAATCATGTTGGTAGGTGTAGACTACCTCGTTGAGACCCACGAGATGACAGTAACCGATTGTTAAGACCTTGAATGACGTGGCTCAAAATTGTTTGCAATGGTGCAGTTGCATCAATTCTTCGCGTTCTCTCACATCTTAAGCTCTGAGAATTCCTCATCACTTTATCTTTTTCCTTTAGGTTGATTCTACGTTTTGAACAATATTCTTTAACCGTAACCTCTCCGATTACTTCCAATACTTCTACTCCCTAAGTACTTTGGGATTTGAATTGACAATCGCATCTCTGCGCTAATGTGGTACGGAAACTTGAAGTTCATCGCTGTAACTAAATGAGTGACTGATTGATTGGTAAAGTCAACTGACAGAAAATTGTAGACGTCTATAAACAACGTGAACATTATATAGTTTTGAGGATCTGAATAAGTAATAATAATATAATTGTAACTATTTGAATGATGAATGTTTAACGCAAAGGGTAGATAAGCTCAGAGAATGTAGATATAATAAAATCATCCACATGATCTTCTGATCTTTTCAACAAATAACGTTTTTTTCAAGACACGTCACATTACTGTATAAACATATAAGTAGGAAAATGAATATGATCGAATTTATGTCCTTTTAAATGTTAGTTAGTCAATTAATCAGGTTGCTTGAACAAAGTGAACCAGTTGCCGCAGATAATACATGAGATTCAAACTATTTCATTTACGCTTCATCAAGTACGAAGAATTTCCGAACGATTGATAACATCAAATATTTATATATCTGATCAAATATGATTTTGACGATGGTTGTTGTCAGTCAGTCAGTCAGATGCAACGTAGAACTTTGTACATAAGTACATCAGTTCATGTTGCCATACCACATCAGCACAGAGAAGTAATCGTCAATTCAAATCCAATAGTAGGAGAGGTAGTAAGGGAATTAGAAGTAATCGGAGAGGTTAGGATTAGAAGATACCATTCAAGAAGTATGATTCAGTGAGAAAAGTTTAGAGAGTCGAAACTAGAGGTGTTGAAGAATCCAGAAGATTAGGATTTGAGAGAACACAGAGAATAAATGCACCGACGCCATTGCGAACGATTTTGAGCCATGTCATTAAAGGCCTCTAACCAGGTCGACTAACCAGGTAGTCGACAATTACCGACATGGCTCAGTCCACTCGTCAATGACTTCATGGATTTCTGCCATGTTTCGGTCTGGCCGCCCCTAACTTTCTTCCAACCTATTCCTACAACACAAAACAAAGTTCGTCGAGGCAGTCGATGGTTCGGCATACGCAAGACATGTCCCAACCACCTCAACTGATGAAGTTTCACCACTTCATCGATTGATCTCCCATCCTTACCTAGTACTCGTTTCCTAACGACAGCATTGCTTACTCAGTTGTCCCACGGTATACGAGCAATGCTTCAAAGACACCTATGATCGAAAACCAGTAAACTACGAATATCTTCTACTCTCACTGGCCATGTTTCACACCCATATAGGAGAACGGAGCGAACTGCTGCACACTACACTCGTCCTTCAGTCAGCAAACGGATATCTCGCCTGCGCCATAGGTGACGCAGGTTGGCAAAAGCCAATCGAGCCTTCTGTAGCCGAGCTGAGATTTCGTCAGTCACCAGGCCATCAGCACTGATGAGACTCACGAGATAAGTGAAGCGGTCGACACGCTCAACTACTTCACTCCCTATCCCTAGTTCAGGTGCCAACGAAACACAATCTTGAAGCAACATTTTCCATTTCGAGGGTGAAAACCGCATCCCGAACATGCTTGCATTGTTGCTTAGGGTAGTCAGAAGACTCTGCATTTTGTCAGTATCTTCACCAAGTAGGACAATGTCATCACCATATTCTAAGTCAATAAGCGAGCCACCTGGTAGAAGGTCTACTCCTGAAAATTCAGACGACGATAATGTTATGTCTAGGAGCATGTCTATGATAAAATTAAACAAGAATGGAGAAAGTGGACAGCCCTGACGGACACCACTTGAAGTAAAGAATTCCGGTGACAGTTCGTCATAAGCTCTCACCCAACCAGTAATTTTAGAGTAAAGAGCTTGTATAAGGTTAATGTACTTCTTTGGTACACCTTTCAGTGACAGACTGCCACAGAACCTCACGATCAACCGAGTCCAATGACGCCTTAAGGTCCAGGAAAACAACTATTGTAGGACGCCTAAATGTGTGTCTATGTTCCAGGACCTGTCTGAGTGTGAAGACGTGGTCTATACAGCCACGTCCAGGTCGAAAACCAGATTGGTTTTCTCGAGTCTGCACTTCACGAGCTTTCGTTAAGCGTCGAAGTATTATTGAGGCCAATATTTTAGATACTATATTAGTTAGACTTATTCCCCTGTGATTGTCACAAGAAGACTTTTGTCCTTTCTTATAGATTGGGACAATCAAGGATTGAGACCAGTCGGATGGGATTACGTCCAGTTCCCAGATTCTACCTAAGATCTCAGTCAACCTAGCTGCTAAAACTGGACCACCATCCTTAAATATCTCAGGGGTCAGTCTATCAGGTCCTGCAGCTCGCCCTTGCTTCAGATTTCCTAACGCTTTCTCAACTTCATAAAGAGTCGAGGGACTTACGTCGATTTGCCATTCAGGATGACTGGAGATCGTGGGCAACCGAAGTGTGGCTCGAGGCCAGTTGAACTGATCCCTAAAGTGTTCTGCCCATCGGTCCAGTCTCCTAGATTGAGAATGGATAATAAGACCATCCTTTTCTGAGATAGTCTCACTCACATTCGGGTTCTTAATACCAGTTTCTTTAATAAGGCGGAAAAGTTGTCTAGTATTGTCTATCGCCGCTGCCTTTTCCATCGCTTTTGCTTTCGCCACCCACCACTGTTCGCGGTCGTTACGCAGACTTTTTGTGAGTCTGCGCCTAAGCTGACTACGCTCTTCATCATGCTCAGAGTCAGGTGGGATGCGTTTTCGAGCATCCATCAGTTCGGTGGATGCGACTGAAATCGACGGCTTCATCCTAGCCTTACGGTTTACCTTCCTAGCAGATATCACTGCTGTTTCCACAGGCTTTTTGATATCATACCAACCTGCTTCTGGATGGGACGATGGTTGTTGAGACCAAGAGTATTTATTATTTGTTTACTGATAAACAAAAACATTCATACAAAAGGGTACCTAAATATTTAAACGTCACACAAATTATTGGATTTGTGTTCTCTCAAATTCTGGCAACCTGAACTGATGTACTTACGTACGAAATTCTGCGTTGTATCTCTCTATCTATCTATCCCATTATTAAGTGAACACAAGAATTTTCATTTCTAGGGTTGTAAAAGGATATAATTTTCAAGATTTCTGTCATGATGATGATGATGATCATAGAACAATACCTTGCTCACTTACTGGTCAATAAAACTATTCATAAAAGTGTAACAGTAATATTCTACTTAGGAAACCATAAATATATACACAAACATATACATCCATAACTCTATTACCATAACAGTAGAAGTATAACCATTTTAAAAAATCTACCATTCTGGAGAATTATATGAGAAGTTGAAAGTTCAAACAATAAATACACATCATGTAAATGTACATACTTTGACTATCTTTCCTCCAGTGATAAGACTTGGCTTAGAGATAGTATTATTATTATTATTATTATTACTCATGATAGATGATGGTCGAATAATTCCAGGTGATCCAACACTACCACCATTTGGAGGAAATCCACCTGATGTGACAAAATTCTCATTTGACGAAGAAGTGGAAGATACTAAAAAGTAAACATATAAAATATCATAGATTTTCTGATATACACAAGGGAATAGCTAATATATATATATATATATATATATATATATATATTACCAGTAGTCACTATCACATAATGATGGAGAAACAAGCATAGAAAATAAAATAGATCAATTTAACTGAAATAGATATTTTTTTTCAATTGTATTTTCTGACCTGATTGCTGATACGATTATGATGATGATGATGATGATGATGGTCAAGATTTAGGCCCAACCGTTAGATCTTAATTGATTGTTGAAGAATGAATGACCTATAAGCTAAGTTCCCTGTAATCAGGTGTATTTTCTGTTCATATTTTGTAGATAAATATATTATTTTAGCATATTTGTTTAGCTAATGATTTCGCTTTTGCTTTCACTTCATTGAAAGTCTTAAGTTAATAATACAGTCTCGTGAATCAGTACAACTTAGCCTCATTACGACTATGAATATCATTTATCGATAAGCAATCTATCCACTGATTGATTTAATAAACGAAAATTTCGTTTAAGCAAATCCATAGGAAACTTCCTTCAAAATAATGGTATCCCTCTCGGTGGTCACACCGAATTGCGACATAAGTTTATGAAGCCACTGACTTTTTGTTGGTAGATACGCACTACATGGTTAGGGCATTACCGATAACTGTAATCGAATGATTCTAATCACAAGAATTGTTCATAACGATGCAAATCCATCCACTTTTTATGATCGCATCGATTTTCAAGCTATAATATTCTCTTATAACATACCCCGCCTTACCGCGTGTACGAACCAAGCTAATAATGTTCAGCGTTTGTCATCATTATTGCTAAAACACCATTTCAGTACTTATACCATGCATCTTTAACTCCCCTGAAGCCCACCAAGGGCTACTGCGGGTCCCCAGCCCAGGTAAAGGAGGACGGTTGCGCTAAAAAACGCTAACTAGAAAAAACAACTCAAATCATCAGAACTCTGCCCTGGGAGTAAGAAGGTCGTCATTCAGAATATGTATGACGTCTCATAATGAAAGCCGGGTCACTTCGGAAGTCACGAGGCCGACGAACATTCTGACAAAAAGAGCAACCGATAGAGTTAAACTGTTTGATGCCGCATTCAACCGTCGAATAATGCCCGACAAAGGACTTGACCATCCTGATGGGAAACATAAACGTCCACGTTGGAATGGACAACACTGCATATGAAGACATCATGGGACGTCATGGACTGGTAGGAAGGCACAAGGATGAGAGATCGGCAAACCTATGTACCTCAAACACAATGGTCATAGGCGGCACCATATTACTACACAAACGCATACATGAAGCTGCATGGGTTTATCCGGATCACACTGCACAGAACCAAATCAATCACATCTGCATCAATAAAAGGTTCAGAAGGATCACGGAAGACATGAAAACAAGGAAGAGAGCTGACATAGCTTCAGATCATCACTTCGTCGCGGTCAAGATGAAGCTGAAACTCAAGAAGCACTGGACAGTTGGTCGTACAGCATCACAAACTTTTGATACGGCCATTATTCGGAATACTGGTTGACCGAGGGAAACATCTTACTGCTGTCACACCCCTCTACAGACAGTCGGCAGTACGACTTCGCCCTCAGACATTGAGTAGCTGCTTTTCGTCTCATCGTTCTCCAATCGACCTGCCTGGCATGGTAGAACCCTCAGGAACATATGTTCCAGCCAATATAGCTCGGTTGGGTCATCACGATAAGCAAGCCCGATCACCACGTCAAGGTAGTAGCTACGATCGGGCAGGGAATGCGGTGAGCAGACAAGACAGCTGAACGATCTGGACTTTGCAAGTCGCCTAGCCCTTCTATCCCACACACAACAATTAACCCAGAAGACGACCAGTGTAACAACAACCTCCGCAGCAGTAGGCCTCAATCAACATCCATGTGGGGAAAATCAGGATCCTCAGATACAACACTCCATGCGCCAACCAACTCACTTAATGCAGAAGAAGCTTTGGAAGATGCGAAAACCTTTACATATCTGACAAGTATCATCGATAAACAAGATGGAACTGATGCCGATGTAAAGACAAGGATTGACAAAGCTCTACAATTGAAGAACATCTCCAACTCCAAACAACTATCAAGCAACACCAAAATCAGAATTTTCAAGACAAATGTAAAGACAGTTCTACTGTATGAGGCGGAAACTTGGAAAACTACCAAAGTCATCATCCAGAAGATACAAGTATTTATTAACAGTTGTCTATGCAAAATACTTCAGATCCGTTGGCCATACACCGTCAGCAACAACCTACTGTAGGAAAGAACAGACCAGATTCCAGTGGAGGAAAAAATCAGAAAGAAGCGTTGGAAGTGGATAGGACACACACTGAGGAAAGCAACCAACTGCGTCACAAGACAAGCCCTCACTTGGAACCCTCAAGGTTTCAAGAAAAGAGGAAGGCCAAGGAACACATTACACCGAGAAATGTTGACAGACATGAAAAGAATGAACGAAAATTGGGCAGAACTGGACAGAGTAGGTTGGAGAATGCTGGTTGGCGGCTTATCATCAATTAGGGGTAACAGGAGTAAGTAAGTAGGTAAGTACCATGCAGTTTTTTTATTTTGTCTCATGGTGCCAATTTGGTGAGGGAATTTCGAACAACTTCCACATAAAGGCTCGATGACTGACTGAAAATGCATATTTATCTCACTAAATAATATTCTTGTTCATTTGTTGATGGATTACACTATTTTTTTTTCCTATTCTTCACTCAGTTATTTATGTAGATTATTAATTTCTTTGATTCCCTTATTTGCAGTACACCAACAACATTTTTTATTTAAAATAAACGAATCAATTGATAAACTAACAAATCTAATTTCATCTTGTGGAAATGAACCACAGATGCGTGAAGCGGTGGTATATTATAGGTGGAGAAAGTGTTTAACTTTCAACCGTTAAGTCGCAGGTTCAATTCTTAATTCACTTAGTTCTGTTTAATTAGGTAACCAGATAGTATCACTAGCCCTTACACACACACACACACACACACACAGTGAGTATATAAATGTTTAGTTGATGAGTTGATATCATGAAAGGAGCAACCGTAATAAATAAATTCCATACGAACTATAAATAACTACTTGCTCTATAAATTTAAACAATGATTGATATAGAATTACGGAGACTGTAATGTTCTACTGAAACGACGAACCGATCTAGGTTGGACAATCACTGAAAATAGGAAGGCACTCGCCGACCGAGTTGCGGAGTCGTCGCATTGTAGTGCCGAGGATTCTATTCTGGGAAAAAACAGCCATCAAATAATCAAAAATAATACAGCATATACTAGTAGAAAAATGAAAGCACTCTACAAATAAACAGAAATTACCGGCAGAATGTTGTACATCATGAGGATAATGTACATGGAATCCTTCTCTGGAATTCGGCATATGCTGAGGCGATGGTGATGCACTATTATTATTGTTATTATTATTATTATTACTATCATTATTATTATTATTTCTATTGAGCATTGATGAAGGGTAAGGGGATGCAGTAGCGCTACTAGTTGGAGGTGGCACCATGTGCTGAGGATGCTGTTGTTGCAAGATAGGAGGGCCTCCGCTAGGTTGCCCACTATGTGAATAAGGATGAATATATTGAGGCTGAGGATGAGGATACGACATTTGAGACTGTGAATACGGATATTGACCATGATGATTCGAATATGATAGAGATTGATTATGAGGAAATGGTCCAGTGGCTAAAGGTTGTACATGTTGTCCATTATGTTGTATCGAATTCGAAACATTAGAGTTAGAAATTGAAGGGGCAGAATAACCACCGCCACTAACACCAACTCCTCGATCTGTTGATGGTCCAAGATAAGGTGGACGAGTACCTACAAAAAGAACATAAAAATTACTTTTGATAATAGAATTTTTAGAAAATGACCAACATTAATTAACTGGCAAGAATATATTTGTGAGAACTGAAATAGTTTATCACCAAACAATTAGATTTCAAAAAGTAAAAACCATGTGATCTCAATATTCAACAGTGAAATAAAAGCTATAACAACAAGGAATTCACTCATTGGATAAAGGCGTAAACGATAATATAAATATTCATTAGATTACTTGCAAAAAACGACGTTAACTATCGAGAAGTACGAGAGGCAGCGTGGATAAGAGGAAGATTGTTTGAAATTTTACAGATCTATATAAACAGGAATTCATATGGTACTGATGAACATTGTCTTCTAGCAGTATAAAGATGAAATACTTGAAGAAAAAGTCTAAATATTAAATGACAGTAATCAAGTCTTCTTAGAAGATAGAGTCAAATAATGAAGAACATGCTTCCGGTCTAATTTATGATCAAAATACAATTTGTGTATGAGAATATATAATGAGGATAACAATACCTTTTATTTCAGATATATTTATTCAAACAGCCAGAAATATTATGAACATGAGAAGTGTAAGTCAACCATAATCAATGCAAAACCTGTCACATATATGCGCTGGCCAAAGCCGTCATAGTGTATCAGAAGGATGAGATAAAATTAAGATGGATAGCGAAGGAATCAAAATAATGTAATAGCAATGATAATGAGAAAGTAATGAGTAGATGGTTCAAAAAGACAAAAAGAAATTTTGGAGCCCACGATCAAGAGGAAGATGAATAGTGAGTGAGTCTAAACTATTTAAACCGGTTTTGAGTACCGTCACCGGGTGTCTGTAACCACTGATTGGGGTTATCGCTTGAACGTCTACCAGGTAGTCTGCATCTACTAATATGGTTCAAGACTGACAGTCAATGACTGCATGAACCGATGCAATGTTTTGGTTTGCCTGTCACTACTTTTCTTCGAACCTACTTGTACACCAGCAAACATCAACTATCGGTGTAGGCAGTGGTTTGGAATATGTAATATGGGTTTTTACCACCTCAGCTGATGATGATTCACAGTCTCAACAATGATTTCTCACCTTCACCTAGTGGCCCCCCTATACCTGGTCTCAATATTACTCACTTCGTAGTTCCAGATAGAGTGAACAATGCATTGAATACAATTAAAATCAAACACAGGTAATTAAACAACTGTATTTTAAGGGGTTGTGAACAGTTACCCTGCAACTAGGAAAAAGTGCTTCCAACATTTTAGTGTTTACCTAACCAAGATCAATCCCCGTGATATAAAACTATAGAACGATCTTTATTATTATGATTATGATTTTATGATTTTAGGAATTTGTGTGGACGAAAAGAAGAAAGAGCCATATAGTTCTCAATGTGATCACTTCAAAAATCTATGAAAAACTATATTGAATTAGATATATTTTCAACAGCATCATTAATAAAATGCTTATTTTTCTATTATCAAATTATGTTCTATTTAATTGGTTCAGGATATAGTTTGCTTTCTTTTTTTTTAATTCAAACCGAAAGTAAGTTAGTTGACTTTTTCAAATTATATCAACATGATTCGTTTATGTCAAATGACGTTACATACTTTTTGACAAATCAAACTTGACGTATTGTAAAACTGGTTAAATATAGAAACATAACTTCAATTAAAACTGCTCAATACCATACCAGTTCCATTTTTTTATTTTCATTTCAACGGTTTCAATACAGACATCAAATCTTTTTAAGCTATCAATATAAGTGACAGTTTAAATGTTAAGAAATAAGAAAGTGAAAACGCAACTCAGTGACTAACTAAATACAAGTTTGTGTAACAACACTGAAGGTTGATAATATGAAAGAAGTATATACACTACAAATTGAATAATGTAGTCATGTTGAAATAATTCAGCTAAAATACATAATCATTAGCCAAGAAAGCAATATACACAATCAATAAAATCTCATTATCAGCTCACCAAACTGATGATGAAACACACTGCCAGGATGTGATGGTTGTGGTGGTTGATAGGGAAATTCTTGATCCCAAGATGGATGAGAACCGTGGGCTTGACCCGATGATGCCCCATATCCACCACCAGTGGAAGAAACCGGTGTTGAATATGGTGGAACCTGTGTGAATGGTGGTTGAGAAGGTCCATTATTGTCACCAACAGATGATTGGTTCGATAATAAAGACGATGGCGGCAATGTTGGCGGTGGTGGCATAGAACTGATTGGTGCACTAGAAGACTGTGGTTGAAATTGTAGTCTATTAGGCATACAATTAGATGGATGCATTGATGGAGAGCGTAAAGGATAAGCAGCTGGAGAAAAACCAGGTGAACGACCACTAGTTGAGTAAGGACTATTGTGAAGTGAAGCTTGTGGATGCGGAGGAGGATATGAGGGATAATTCATTCGTGGAATCCCACCGCCTAACTCCTGGTTTATCATTCCGTATGGGCGAGGTGATGGTACTGCGGTTTGACTGACTTGCTGTGATCCTTTCGATTGGCCTATAAATTAAGAGAAATATCACGTAAGAATTATTTACAGGTCTATGAAAATCCAGTTGAATGGTGAGTAAACAAAACTGTAAATGTGCACGAGAAATGATTGGATGTTAAAAGAAAGCTGCTACTCTTGAAATAAGATTAGTAATCAAACAAAACTAAGAACTACTTTGCAGAAATCTTATAATAAAAATAATACATTTGTAGTATTTTAATGAATAGAAAATTTAAAAATTTTCTGACATGTAAGCAGAGACTTACACTGAGTCACAAAACGTTACGAGAAATAGAACTTTCTTACTCATTGAAATACTACAAATATAATATTTTTATCACTAATAATCTACCCAATGCTCAATTTATTCTAAATTGTCAAACCAAACCTTGGTTATGATACCTATGAGAAATATAGGTTTCTTTCGCGTTATCACTGAACAGATCATAATGGAAAAGAATGTTATACATCGGTACAAAAGTTACTACAATAGTTTTACTTACCAGGACTTGGACACGTAGACGGTTGAACCTGAATATTGCCCATTTGTGACGAAATCATAGGGGACGATGATGGCATTGAAGATTGTACAAAGGATGGATAACTCTGAGTTGGAGATGTTTCTCTTGATACTACAGATAGTACACTGACAGTTATGTTAGCAAGAGAACTGGATGGTGTAGATACATGGGGTCGTTGCATTCCGTCAGTGCTTGAATTTTGTACAACTGTCTCAACAGACGAAGTAGCGTTTTGACCATCAAGCTGATCTTTAGTACATGATGTTGCACTTTTAGGAGTGGAGCATATTCCAGACTATTAAAAAAAAGAATATACGGTACGCATAGCTATACTGTATGCGTGAACTTAAACGGATAAATATTTTAATACAGGAACGATAATTCAATACATGTCAAGAAAATAAACCACTTTTAAAATTAGCTCTAGAATGGTATAATTGTTGGAATTCTTCAGACATAGAGTATTTGTATTTCAAGTGTTTTATAACCATATGTGTTTTGTTATTTAAAAATTCTCGACAGTATCATTGCTATTTGAATAACCAATTGGAGCCTCATTAAGGTTGCTGCCGGTCTCAGGCCCGGATATAGAAGGAGGGCATAAGGACCAAAACTTCGTTCACTAAAGAAAGACCCATCCAGAAAAAACTATCTTAGACATTTAAGCTATTAAAGGAGTTGGAGCGATTTCATCTAGAAGAATTAGGACGCCCTATGGTGAAAGCAGAGATTCCTTAGAAATCATGTGGCTAACTCCAATCCTGACAACCAGAGCGACAATTATAAGACAATGATAGAATGTCCGGAAAGTGTGAGACCGAAAGGACCATTTAAATAGTTGCGAAACATAGAATCCTCAAGGAGAAAGCAAAATAGGATGATCGCGAGTGAGAAATATACAACAAAAGAATAAATATCCATTGGCGACAATCGGAAAAGAGCCAGAATAAAGGGGGTTGAAGATTTCTGGTCGGCAGTTTATGTCCCACGAGTAATAACAGGTGTAAGTAAAGGTAATACCAGTCACACAGTCGACAATCAGATTGTTGTACCTCATACACAACTGAGTATGTTCACATTTATTTTGGCTGAGCCCTTTTGATTAATTTATTTTGCTTAGTGTGTCTGTGGTGCTACAATAAACGCATTCAAAGGTTTCGTATTCGTCTTTTGATTTATACACCGTTGAGCGTTATCTAATAACGTTTATCACGACGAGCAGTATACGAAGTTTGGGAATAAGTCGAATACCGACAGCCACAAGATATTTGCGCAAGATAATGCACAATAAAAATTTTCAAAAACTATATTTATTTGAAATTCATGATAAATCACAAAACGTTCTATACATGTGATATATGTGAAACACACCCAAATGCACTGATACGGTAGAGAGAGTTAACTTACTCTCCCCAAACATTCTCACGTGGCCACGCGTATATAGCCACAATCAGAGAAGTCCTACTCACTGCCTTCGCGTGACACAGGAGTTGTTACGAAATTCACAGGATCAAACGCGAATGTCGAGAAAGGGTTTAAGTCGGGTCAGTGGGTAAGGAAGATCCACCTACGCGAGTTGGAAAACCTTCATTCCAAACCAACGGTGTACATAAGCTCCAACATCCTGAGGGAACAAATGACAAGTGAACCCATTCTTTATCAACGGCCACCATGGGACTGCATCTCTTCACGTTGCTTCATTGCATTGTGTACTAGGTTTTGAGTAAAAGATTCGGGAAGAGAACCCCTAAGACAACAATCTGCATCAGTTTGAGTCTGGGTGGTATCCCATCACATTCACCAATTTAATAACTTGCATGGTGCGAATCAATGTATCAATGTTTATGTGTTGAAATAATTAACAAATACATGTCGTTAGAATAAACAACGGCTAATCAAGAAATATGTAAGCTTCAGCAATGTTTTTCTTCACTTTATAATCCTCGGAGCAGTTGTCTATTTAGGAACACTATCAGGAATATATATAGCAGATTAGCCATTGACCTAAGATAGACTGATAAACAGAACAAACAGACTGTGCAAAAATGTCAATTACTAGATTAATGATTTGATTGCTGCTTTCTTATAATTACTATGATTAGGATTGGATTTTGCGGAATATTTTATTTATCAGAGTCGCTACATCGCTAATCATTACAGATGTGAAAAGATAAAAAATACATCTTTATACAACCTACTTTAAGATAATTATAACCTAGACAAAATTTCACCCCAATACATCTTTGGTTATATGAGCTGATGTAAATGAGGTACAATGGTATCATTATTTCAAAATATTTGTGAAAAACAAACCATGACTAATTCGTTATGTAGGGATGATCAAAGAAACGATGATGCATGAGATCATCTGTAAATACACTTCTTTGTTTTAAAAGTTATAAAACTGTCATCTATCATATATCAGTTCCGAAAAGAAATAATTGAAATACAAAGAGTGGCAGTCACAATGACATTTATTGACCCAGTATTTTCGATGCGATCAACTCATTACCTATAGTTGTATAAGTGCTTGCCAACCTTCAGGTTTTACATCGTTTGACAAGAAAATATTTGAAAATATTTGGAACAGGTATGGAACTTATTGCATTTATTATGGGTGTTGTGATTATATAAACACTATATTTCATGAAAATAATTCAGTTATGTTATACCAGTGTTTACGTTATGTAAACTAAAATCGATTAAAATGGCATTGACACATTCACTCTTTATCTTTTCTTTCGAATGATACAGTCTGCTACCAATGACATAACTAATGATTTGGTTAACTTGGAATTTGTCTTAAAAATCTTATCTTGCTGTGCTAATCTAGTGTGACAATTTAAACTGATGCAAACATATGCCGAATTCCAAGTTGTGTATTACTATTTGCGTAGTTAATGCATTTAAAATCTGATAGAACTGTGACAAAAACCGAATAAGCCACAGAAAATAAAATGTATGTATGACTGATTGATGGGAAGTAAGAAACTTTGAGCGGAACAAGCCGAAATCTATGGGTCATTAAGTTTAACTGTTAAAATATCAGGACAAATTATATTTATAATTATATAAGCTCGAGTTTTGCTCTTGTCGAAATTCGATAAGTTTAGAAAACAATACTTCCGAACAAATAGAAAACTTGGTCAATAAACACACTAACATTAAGTCATGCAGTTGGAAAAATATTCTATAGGAAGTACACTAATTGAACAAAATATCCTTTAGATTAAGCCAAATCATTTACACTGAACACTAATGAAAACTATGCAGCCTAACACTACTTCAACGACTATTTCCGGTTCCAATAATAAAGCTACACTCTGCTGATCATTTATGATATTAATCAACGAGATGACTGCTTCGGTTGCAAGATACCCAAAATAAATTTGACTTGAAATGTTGTTCAATACATCCTATATTTGCCAAAAACAACCACCACAGCGTTGGGCAACTCGACAACAAGAGAGTCAGTGACCCTCTCTCTCTCTCTGTTAAGCCACCCCATACATATACACACATGCGCAAGACGAAATATTTTCAGTGCGCTAAAGGTGGTGCACGCTTGCTGAAAAATTATAAAGAGGTCAGTTGTTGTTATCATTATCAGCAATTGGCCAATCGGTAAACTAAACTCAAGGTCATTGAGTGGGTGACAAAGGCCAGAGAACAAAAAAGAGAATGGTAAACAGACAGGCAACGAGCAGATAGAAAAATCTATCCATACTAGGTATTAAGCAAAGCTTTGCTTATATTGATCGATCGAAAACAAACAACCACTATCGTATATTCAATGACGATTATGATGATGCGCCAAATCATTTTTAAAGAAAAACAAGTTTTAAATAGTGAACGATGATGATGAATTCGATACAATGAGACTGAACAAACTCCACGAAAACAGTGCAGAAATACATACAGTAGTAGTACTGGTTGTAGCACTAGCAGCAATAATAATAGTAGTAAAATAGACAATATTTCGGTCTTAAAGTGCAGAGACAACATAATCAAAATTTGCAGAGTCAAATACATTGGAATATTGAAATTGAACGATTTCTGTTTATGAAAAGCAATTATTATTAGGAGGAAAAGCTCGACTTGACAAGCAACTTATTTATGGACAGGAGAATACATAAATTTACACACCCTATGGAACGCTACATAAACTAGATAGAAATTGATCCATCGATAGCTGGAACAGGGTATCATTCCGCGAAGGCATTGAATGATGATATGATATCGATAGATGCCAAAAACCAAGTAGCGGTCTACGTCCTAACCTTAATCCGCGGTTGAAGGTATTAAGTGGTACTGCTGACAATCAGCCACTGTGTAGATGGTGTATGTCAATCAGTTACAACATACAACTTCGTAGGTAAGTACATCATTTGAGGTTGCCATAGCGCATTAGCACAGACACACAATTCAAATCCCATAGTGGTAGAGACAGTAGAAGTATTACTAGTAATGGAGAAGATTAGGGTTCTAAGATTTGATTCGAGAAGTATAGTTCAGTGACATAAATTTAGAAAACGAAAGGTAGAGATGATTAGGAATTTAGAAGGTTAGAATTTAAAAGAACAAAAAGAATGAATGAACCTGCGCAATTGCAAACGATTTGGAGCTATATTGTTCAAGATCTCCAACCACCAGGAACTTTCGTCTCGCGGACTCCAACCAGGTAGCCTACCACAGTTGTTGGGAAATAAATTACATTTTGCATTTTTCATGGACTAAGTCACATTCAACGTGTTTTTGTTTCAAATTCATAATCAATTTTAGTGAACACTACCTAATTCATTTTTGGTTTGGACGCCCGTAGCTTTCTTCCAACCTACTCCTACAACACAAAACATCGCCTGACAAGGCAGTCGGTGTTCGGGCATTGGTAATACATGTCCCAACCACCTCAACTGATGAAGTGTCACTTCTTTATCCATTGATTAGCCATCCTACCGAGTATCCGCTTCCTAGCGGCTACGCTGTTTACTCGGTTGTCCCAGGATACACGAGCAATGCTTCGAAGACACCTATGATCGAAAACCAGTAAACTACGAAAATCTTCTACTCTCATTGGCCATGTTTCACAGTCATAGAGAAGAACGGCGCAAACTGCTGCACACTACACTCGTCCTTTAGTCAGCAAACGGATATCTCGCCTGCGCCATAGGTGACGCAGGTTGGCAAAAGCCGATCGAGCACTCTGTATCCGTGCTGAGATTTCGTCAGTCACCAGGCCATCAGCACTGATTAGACTCACGAGACAAGTGAAGCGGTCGACACGCTCAACTACTTCACTGCTTATCACTAGTTCAGGTGCTGATGCAAGTCAATCCTAAATCAACATTTTGCATTTCGAAGAGGAGAACCACGTCCGGAAAATGCATACACTGTTGCTTAGGGTGGTCAGAAGACTTTGCATTTTGTCAGCATCTTCACCGAATAGAACTATATCATCAGCATATTCTAAGTCGGCAAGCGTGGCTCCTAATAAAAGGTCCACTACTGAAGGGTCAGACGATGATAATGTTAACTCTAAAACGATATCCACGACAAAGTTAAACAAGAATGGAGAGAGTGGACAGCCCTGACGGACACCACTTGAGGTAACTAATTCCGATGACCGTTCGCCATATGCTCTTACTCCACCACTGGTGTTCGAGTAGAGAGCCCGTATAAGGTTAATGTACTTCTTTGGTACACCTTTCAATGACAGACTGCCACAGAACCTCACAATCAACCGAGTCCAATGACGCCTTAAGGTCCAGGAAGACAGCGATTGTCGAACGCCTAAATGTGCGTCTGTGTTCCAGGACATGTCGTTATGTGAAAATGTGGTCTATACAGCCACGTCCAGGTCGAAAGTCAGCCTGGTTTTCTCTAGTCTGCACTTCATCAGCTTTCGTTAAGCGTCGAAGTATTATTGAGGCCAATATTTTAGATAGTATATTAGTTAGACTTATTCCTCTGTGATTGTCACAAGAGGACTTTTGTCCTTTCTTGTAAATTGGGACAATCAGTGATTGAGACTAGTCAGATGGGATTGTGTCCAGTTCCCAGATTCTACCTAAGATTTCAGTCAGTCTAATTGTTAAAACTGGACCACCATCCTTAAAAATCTCAGGTCAAACATGGAGAAATTCGAATGCTTCACTTCTATCTGAAGAAGTTTGTGCTGATGATGTTGTTCAGAAGAACAATGAAAGCTTCACAACCAAAACACCCAGCTCAGAGAACCAAACACCACCACCATAAAAATCTCAGGAGTTAGCCCATCAGGACCTGCTACTCTACCTCCCTTCAGATTTCCTATAGCCTTTTCAACTTCATAAAGATTCGGGGGGCTTACGTCGACTTGCCATTTAGGATGACTGGAGATCGTAGGCAACCGAACTGTGGCTGAAGGCCAGTTGAACTGATCCCTGAAATGTTCTGTCCATCGATCCAACCCCCTGGATTGAGAATGAATGACAAGACCATCCTTTTCTGAGATTGCCTCACTCATATTCGAATTCCTAATACCGGTTCCCATGATAAGGCGGAACAACTGTCTTCTGTTGCCTATTGCCGCTGCCTTTTTCATTGTTCTCGCTTTCTCTACCCACCAGTGTTCGTGATCATTGCGTAGGCTTTTTATCAGCTTGCGCCTAAGCTGACTCCTCTCTTCATCGTGTTCAGAGCCAGGTGGGATGAGTTTTCGAGTATCCATCAGTTCTGTAGCTGCTACTGAGATCCACAGCTTTTTTGATATTATTCCAACCTGCCTCTGGATGGGGATCACTTACATGGTCGTCTAACTGTTTTTCTAGTTGTTCCTGAAATATATTCCTAGCTTTGTTATCACTAAGTGGAACCCTGAGATGTTATTTTGCGATATCTTTCCTACGTCCAGTAAGCCTCAAACAAATACGCGCTCGCACTAGAGCATGATCTGAATCTAAACATGTGCCCCAGAACGAGCGACAGTCCTCTATCGAACCCCTCCATCGGTGGCTGATGGCGATGTGATCTAGTTGGGTCCAATGTTGAGACGAATTTGGGGGTCGCCACGTCAAAAGATGTTTTTCCTTATGCCTGAAGTTAGTGTTTGCTAGAAATATCTGAGCATAGTTGCAACAGACGGTCGCCATTGTCAGTTCTCTGAGCCGCGACACCATAACATCCACCTAGGTGTCTTTCCTTTTCACCTAGTCTACCTACTTGAGCATTAGTCACCAGCCATTATTACTAAATCAGAGCGCTTAAATTTTTGGAGGAGTTCTAAAAGCTTTCAATAAAACTCATTGTTTACCTCGTCTGAACTGCAGTCAGTGGGGGCATAGGCAGATACGATGAAGAGGCAACGACGGGTGTCCCTATCTTTCCGAATACTTACTGTCCCGTTCAGTCGGACAGAGCACAAGCGACTATCTACAGGGATCCAATCCAGGAGAGATAGTTCTGCCCTATGACTCAATGCTATACCTACGCCAGCGAGATGCCGGGAAGTAGCATCAGGGCTTCCAGATACACAAAGAGTAAGTCGATGTGGACCATTATTTTGTCATGGTGAAATCAAATTAATGATTTTACTCGGATCCTGTGTGCGCGTTTCCGAGACGCAGCACACATTGATAGCGCGAGATTCTAAAGTCCTAGCTAGGGAAGCCTGTTGTCCTATTTGACACAATGTCTGTACATTAAATGCTCTAACATGTAGTCTAGAAAGGGGTTTCAGGAGACCAGGAATAACGTTTTGTGAACTCGAATCGTTTGTTTTAAGAATGCAGGGTGATACAGGATATACGAGAAAAATCAGTCGTGGAGATAAGGGGGATGTTAGGAAGTGTAAAGAGAACTAGATTGTGACCGATTTGGTCCCGTGTGCTGGTACGGGTATGATTGCGGATGTCACTTCCCGGCTGCCCACACCGTGGAAAGTTGTGGGTACCCACTGTGGAGAGGGTGTATCTATCCTTTAGCGACTTCTACACCTTGAATGCTGATATAACTTATAATATGTTTTCATTTCACCTTCTAGTACCACATTCGTCATTATCACCCCTAGCACAATTTAAAATTCATCTTGTCATGCGAATGTGGCAATGGCAACTCTAGTTGACGCATTCCAATGCCTGTTAAGTTCGTCGCTAGGTATGCTTGAAACTATTACGTGTTCACCTACGTCGGTAAACGCGAACGAGACAATGAACCAGCGTCCAGGTAGGCTACCTGATCTGCTGACTAGTGATAAGTCTTGACACAGCGTAGAACGTATATTCTACAAACACCCAACGAGCACAATGCAGTCAAGCTCACCAAATTTGGTTTATTTATACATCATAGAAATGTCCTTGGGACAGTCACAAAAATAGCACACTAAAATACACAGCAACCAATCACAGCCAAGGATTTTCCAGGTGGGGAATGAAATCTCAAGGTCAAATGATCAATCCATGCTCGGAAAATTGAAAATGGAAAATATCTGATTGGAGACATGACACAGTACAGTAGATACATTCACAGTATATTTTGATATATCCTGAGTTTTGAAATTAATTGTGCTATCTATTTAGCAAATTAATTCTTTCTAGAAATATATTTTCAATGTCTAGTCGTTATTACTATCAGCAATAATAAACATTATAACTACTGCTTCTACTACTATAAAATTATTTCCATAAGTATATCTTTTTGTGGTGATTGTGAATGACAACTTGCGACGATGAATACTTGGGCCAGGTTGTTAAGCTGATTATCGTCGAAAAACTGAATGTACCATAGTTCATCGGGTTATTCATGTTCATTAAAATCAATAACAGTGAATTATAGACGTTTTTGACGATAGTAACACTTCATATTACTATTGAAGCTTGGAATAAAAATCATTAATTAAATTAAGGCACTTATTAAATAGCCCTGAATACCCTGGTACGGAGGGAAATGAGGAGGGCCAACTTACCCTCCCCAAACATTCTCACGTGGCCACGTGTATATAGCCACAATCAGAGAAGTCCTACTCACTGCCTTCGCGTGACACAGGAGTTGTTACGAAATTCACAGGATCAAACGCGAATGTCGAGAAAGGGTTTAAGTCGGGTCAGTGGGTAAGGAAGATCCACCTACGCGAGTTGGAAAACCCTCATTCCAAACCAACGGTGTACATAAGCTCCAACATCCTGAGGGAACAAATGACAAGTGAACCCATTCTTTATCAACGGCCACCATGGGACTGCATCTCTTCACGTTGCTTCATTGCATTGTGTACTAGGTTTTGAGTAAAAGATTCGGGAAGAGAACCCCTAAGACAACAATCTGCATCAGTTTGAGTCTGGGTGGTATCCCATCACATTCACCAATTTAATAACTTGCATGGTGCGAATCAATATATCAATGTGTGTTGAAATAAATAAATCGCTTTCTTCATAACACGTTTTGAAACTACATAAAAGAGAATGATGTGAGATAATCATGAAACAAAGATTTGCAACTCAGAATAGTGACCTATCAATTTTCAGCCGTTTTTCTGAACTATGCAGTCATAACTCCTAGGTGAATTATTTAAACAAAAGCCATTAAAACACAACGGAAAGTATAAAGATCATTTAGTCAATAAAATTAACTTACTTCACTTAGTCTTGATTGAGGACGACACACTATGTCTTCAAAGGTATTAGGTGTGCCCTCATTCTGACTATCAGGTCTCGCAGAACTATTATTATTAGTGTTGGGAGATTCAGACAACCCATCATTTGTTTTAAGTTGATAATCTCTTGATAAACTACGTCTCGGTTGAGACTGAATATGTTGTGGGGATCCAAAAGTAGCAGTATGCGGTGACCAGGATGACACTTGAGACCCAGTAGAGTAAACTGGGGAGGAAATCTGTGTATTTTGGAATGCAGCATGAGATGAACTAATGGTATAATTGATATTCCTTGATGGTGGGCGCTCAACTTGATTTGGAGTACCTACTAAAGGTGGAGTGGGTTGGGGTGGTCTGGATTGATTGCAAGAGTTTGCAATCGGATATTCCATATTAGGAGGTTGAGGCGCGCGAGTCCTTTGTATCAAAGGCTGCGAATGTGGATAATATGGATGATTCAGACCAGGTGGGTATGGAAGATACGATCGAGTATATGGATCAGCGAAACGTTGAGCGCCAGAATAAGAATACGAGTTTGCCTGAAAAATAAACAAGAATCGAAACTTATGAAGGTCTGGTAACGACATACAAACTAGTGAGATTTTAAGTAACAACTACTTAATATCCAATGATGTGAAATACACTTCGGCAAATATCCATGCTTCACATTGTGTCTTTCAGATGTTGAGAATGAAATATGTATAGAACGGTTTGAACCGTGTTCATCGTTTACATTTGAGTGGCTCGGCTAAAATACTAGTTCATAATGCTGAAAATTATTAGTCAGACAGCTACAACCTAGAGCATCATACGTATGTACATCAGTTCAAGATGCCATACCACATTAGCACACAAATTGTCAATGTGAATCGCACATGCAACAACAAATGCAATAGATGACGACCAGTGTAGCAACAGCCTCTGCAGCAGCAGGTCTCAACGTACATAAAATGAAAACCAAGATGCTACGATACAACACAACATGCGCCAACCAAATCACACTTGATGGAAATGACTTGGAGGACGTTAAATGCTTTACATATCTGAGCAGCAACATTGACGAGCGAGGTGGATCTGATGCAGATGTGAAAGCGCGACCGGCAGAGCAAGGATCGTTCGACGTGAAAATTGGAGTCAGGCAAGGTTGCTTACTCACACCCTTTCTCTTTCTCCTGTTGATAGACTGGATTATAAAGACATCAACATCTGGAGGGAAGCGCGGGATACAGTAGACAGCCAAGATACAGCTGAACGATCTGGACTTTTCAAGTCGCCTAGCCCTTCTATCCCACACACAACAATTAACCCAGAAGACGACCAGTGTAACAACAACCTCCGCAGCAGTAGGCCTCAATCAACATCCATGTGGGGAAAATCAGGATCCTCAGATACAACACTCCATGCGCCAACCAACTCACTTAATGCAGAAGAAGCTTTGGAAGATGCGAAAACCTTTACATATCTGACAAGTATCATCGATAAACAAGATGGAACTGATGCCGATGTAAAGACAAGGATTGACAAAGCTCTACAATTGAAGAACATCTCCAACTCCAAACAACTATCAAGCAACACCAAAATCAGAATTTTCAAGACAAATGTAAAGACAGTTCTACTGTATGAGGCGGAAACTTGGAAAACTACCAAAGTCATCATCCAGAAGATACAAGTATTTATTAACAGTTGTCTATGCAAAATACTTCAGATCCGTTGGCCATACACCGTCAGCAACAACCTACTGTAGGAAAGAACAGACCAGATTCCAGTGGAGGAAAAAATCAGAAAGAAGCGTTGGAAGTGGATAGGACACACACTGAGGAAAGCAACCAACTGCGTCACAAGACAAGCCCTCACTTGGAACCCTCAAGGTTTCAAGAAAAGAGGAAGGCCAAGGAACACATTACACCGAGAAATGTTGACAGACATGAAAAGAATGAACGAAAATTGGGCAGAACTGGACAGAGTAGGTTGGAGAATGCTGGTTGGCGGCTTATCATCAATTAGGGGTAACAGGAGTAAGTAAGTAGGTAAGTAAGCAAGTAAGTAAGTAAGTAGTAGAGGTGATAGCAGTATTAGCGGTAATGGAAAAGATTAGGGTTCGAAGAAACGATCCGATAATTATAATCCAGTGAAATGACTCTAAAAATAGAAAAAAGGTCGTGAGGAACTCAGAAGGTTAGGATTTGAGAGAAGACAATAAACCGATGTATTTGCTCCACTGCCGACGGAATTTCAGCAATATCATTCAAAGTTTCTGACCATCGGTTGCTATCGTCTCGATTACCCGAAACTAAGCAGTCTACACCTACTAAGTTGACTCAGTTTAGTTGTCAGTGAATCTATGGATTTGTGCCATGTTTTGCTTTGGACGCCTCCAGCTTTTTTTTTTTACTTACCCAGTCACAAAACATCGCTGATCAAGATTGTTGGTGGTTAGGGGGAAGTTATTAGATGAGTTAACACTTTACAGTCCACTCTTTTTCAGATTAATACATGAATATATTTGTTCAAAATAAATCGTCATGAAAATGCGACACAAAGACGATAACTTAGCAAGTAAACCTAAATTTTCATTACTGAATTTCGATTAAACAAATAGTCTAAAAAAGAGAGTCAAGTACAAGTACAATCTTCTTGAAGGTTAAGAAACATTTGTGCAAAACAATGTTCACAGTACATTTTTTAATACAAAAACATTATAAAGTAGTAGCTGATTAACTTACTAAACTACGAACTTTAAGATACTGATAAGACATTAAAATATCTTGGAATGATATCTAACATGATATTTAAAGTCTTATAAAGTAGAAAATTTGTTTAAAGAAAAAGTAGTCAAAGAATTCCGGATAAAAATTTCCCTACTTAGTAGAAATCCAATAATGATAGCGACTGTAACAGCTTTAGTAATGGTTACAACTAGTTGAAAATGAGTGATATTTAGGTATTTGATGAGATTAGGTACAAACTGGTGTGGAAATCCAAATCGAATCAATAAAGAAAGAACGCAACGTAGAAGCTAAGGCCACCTTAAATACTCAGAAAATCTAACAAACTAACAAAATATCAAAATGCACCAGAATCATATCACTTGTGGTTTTTGCTTTTAACGACAACCTAGGAATTAAAAAGCTGTTAGTCATAATTAAGGTAAAGCCGAAATCACCGTACCATATTACTAGGATAAGGTTAAAAGCAGCAGGCTGTGAAAGCATGAAATTCGGATCAGTCAGTAAGAGTTTAGTGGATAGACATACAACTTAGCCGCGATGACCGAACAAATCTTGAGTTCAAAATTACACCAACACCTCATATTGCTTTTCTTAGATAACTGTTTCTAACTGCAACAATTGTAATCAAAAGAAGAGTCAGATTTTACAGCGTAAAGCATAAGGTTGGGTAGAAAAACAATACCAGCATGTACACCAAGACAGATGATCCTGTGTAGATGCATGTGCCAAACTGAACAATATTGTATGGAAGCTTGTGACGCATTATCCCTCAAATGTAGGCATATCTTTTGGGATTCGAATTTATGCAAATGAAAAATAAGTTGATCAATAAGAGGCAGCTGCATACATACAGAAATTATTATCCCTATTGTTCACTGACAAACTTGATGTGTAAATACCAAACAAATCCAGACAATAATTCGCTTATTCAATCATATAGAAAAATGTATAGCAAATAATTAACATTAAAATCCGTGTAGTAAATCTATAACATGTGATCTATTTAAAAACATGGTATGTATGTATGATTCATGGATGATAGTAACTTTAATTAAGTAAATATCGACAGTTACATTGGGTAAAGTATTTTAGTTAATAATACTGGATATAGATAGAAAAGTAACAAAATCAACGTAAACCGGTAATGCAGAACTTACAAAAGAAACCAAAAGTATGAACTATTACGGTGAATGTATAAACAATTTTCTATTAAAAAAAGGTAGTTTTCATAGAAAATCAGTACAAAAATTTCTATAACTATTAGATTTAGTCGAGTTTTTAGTAAAAATGATTTACATTCCTTACTTGTACACACTAAATACGTGAGGACAGCATTCTCAAATGAAATAAAATCAAATGATTTTATCACACTTGTGAAAATCAGCCACTTTGAATGAAATAGGAAAGACCAAGTATGGTAGAAAGAATATTAGCAATATTACTAACAACTTTTACAGTACAAAAGGCGAATATGATGGGATGGGAATGTAACAAGGATACTAGTTAAAGGAAGAAAACATGAGGAAGAGTACTATAACTAGTCTATAGTGAAGGAAGCAATAACTTGTAGTAATTGAAGTATACTTTCGATAGACTATCAAAAGGAGTGTTGAAAAGATTATAATCAGTTCCATGCGCTCACTCTGTTATAAAATGATCACTTCCCAGACTTTTCCATCCAAATCCAGTCCGTCAAAAGAATATACGATGTAGAAGTCACTGGAATAATATTCACAAATTAATACCGCGGCAACAGCTAGTGTTTTAAGATGATAATACTAGTTCAAGCCTGTCTAAAAACATACCCATCCTACTTAGAACAAACAATGTAATGCGACTTATGATGGAGTAACCAACATAGTTCCTTATCTAATAGAAATAGTTGGGAAATGTGTTACGTTTACCTAGCCACCACCTACTTCGATGAGCAATGTTGTCTGATGTCACTGGTATTGGAATGAGTCATGTTAACAGCTGTACACTAACTGGTTAGGTCCGCGTGAAAATTGGTTAGAAACTCTGAACGAAATCGTTCGTAATGGTGCAAATGTATCCATTCTTTGTCTTCCGTCAAATTTACAGCTTCCAAAATTCCTCATAATTTTTAATTTCTACTATTTGTTTCACTGAATCTTATTCTTCTGAATCATATCTTTGATGCCTAGTTTCCGTCATTAGTAATAATTTTAAAATTAATATATTTGTAGTATCCCGATGAGTAGACAAGTTAAATTTTTTCTGACGTTTCGTTACTCAATGTAAGCCACTTGTTTAGAGAATAATTAAATGAACCCTCCAACAATTCCCAAGAATTCCCCCACCAAAAATCTATCACAAATATCCGCTGACTAGCCATATCATCCTTAGTCAAATGCGCATACATTTGTAGACACTTTCAAAAGAGCGTTATCAAAGTCAACGGGAGATGTCTATCGATATATTGTACGATTTCTTGTTAGTGTACAGGACCGTACCAAATGAAACAACACTGAATTAGAAATCACTACAGGAAATCTATTTGGGTTGTAAATTGAAGACAATCCACCACTCGATGATACCAAACAGGACTAACTGGAAGAAGTGGTACCAGTGAAAGCCTCAGAATTTGAAATCTTCCGAGATTAAAGACCAACACATGATGCATGAATAGAAAGGTATGCGTTATTTAGCTAATGAATGGGGTGTTGGTTGGAAGGGTAAAGATGGACACATCCCAATTAACTACGAAGACTTTTCATCGAAGAATAGGAGAATAATGAGCAGCTTTCCGATGGAATCACTAATAGACACTCAGTTTACTACAGCCGCAA